GGTTTTCTGTGGTCGCGAGAGACGGAGACAGACACACAAAGCGAAGGATTGTAACATGGAGACTATGAGAGATAGTATGAAAGACATGTACCATTGAAGGCAAAGTCCTACATTGGCGCTAACTATTTTTAAGATGCAGCGCTGTAAGAATTTCTCCACCACATGTCCACCAAGGCAATCGGGGTTGCACGTACCGAGCTTGACTGAGCCACCAAACAGAGATCCTTTATCGAAGGCGTCCTTCCAGGTGAAGGTCAAGCAGAGCTGTGGAAACAGAGACGCGTTGTGTTCAAGTTCTTCCGTACGGGAGCTAAGTGTAGCCCAGGTGTGCTGTTCGATCACTTACCTGGTTTTCAGAGAAGGGAAACTTGGGCTCGACTGCACACAGTTGGTCGTAGTATCTGGAGAGAGAAAGAAATGGGAGAATTGAAACCAGGTTCTTGTACACGATCTATACCCAAAGATTCCTGCTCTGATTGGTTTCTGCAGAGACGCCTTTTTTAGAATTATCATTGGACTTCACGTTTGGTTAGTCAAGTTTTGGGGGGAAAAAAGGACATTAACAGTAAATATGAACAATAAATCACAACTGGGAAACAAGTTTAAAGTGTAGTAATTATTATGACATAACCGCAGCACTGAGGTCTGAGCAAGCTTTGCCATTTCAGAGACATTTGACAATGAGTCAGAAGAAAATATCTGGAGAGACAAATGCACTGCACTGTGCACGCAGACGCACACAATAACACACACCCTGTGTGTCGGTGTCAGTGAAATGTAAATAGTCTGTTAATAGAGATGACAACATGCAGAAGGGCCAGTTAGGGAATCCCCTGTTACCAGTTCATCCACTCTGACTTTCAGTGACGGCAAAGGTTGGAATGCAACATTTGGCTTTCTATATGGAAACAAAACCATATAGTTTGTCATTCTAGTGTTTCTCATTCAGATACACACATGCGAAATCTAAGACGAGGTGGTCCTACTGGTTGAGTAAAGAAAAAAAAAAAAAAAGCCTGCACAGAACAATCGTTACCATGGCAACTAAATAGCTGTGTGTCAGGGCAGCTTTGAAAAGGATAGCGCCGTCGCCCCGGCTACCTGGCAAGTGGCTGACAGACGGCGTGCAGAGAGACAAGAAGTGGCAATGCAGCAATGGACAGACATGCTAGCGTCAATCCTGCTGCTAGTTGGCCAATGTCGCGCATCCATCATGCATCATTTATTTACTGACCATACAGTTTCCAGTTAGTGGGTCTAAATGCCATCACATCCTTTGAGAAATCTTCCCTTTCAAGCGGCACTGATCAGACATTTTCTTTAGACATTAATCAGGGATTTTTTTTCAACAACTTGTCTCTAAATACAAACGTTCAATAGATGTGCCATTAGTTATATCTTTTCCCATAACGTAGATGTGTATAGAGATCATCATAATGCAAGTGTAACATGAGAAGAAAGCGCATACCTGGCTGGCGTAATCTGGGCAACCCCTCAGCATTAATAACTAATGAGTCACAGTTTCCATCTGTATGTCACTTTTGAATGCAGTCACAGCGCAGCAGTTAATTCATTTCCATACATGATATCAAGGATAAGAAGCAGGTTAATTTAGTGGGATTAGTCCCTCAGCGGGATTCTGGATTGGTGCATAATAATTTAGGTCTAAAAATCCGGTGATTGAATAAGAGCAAGACAATCGTCAACAACACCCATGCATGGTAAACGAAGAATGGGAGACAGAGTAACTGATTAACAGACACAAAACCTACATGGGTCCAGTTCCCCTCTGCGAAGTAGTTGGCAATGTGACTCTTTTTTTGCCATTTACAAACATATATATATCCTATGTATGTACACATGTATACATGTACAGCCTTTTAAAAACAATTCCATTAACAGGCCTCTACTGTATCTCATGTTTCCATGTTTTATGTTGCTTCTGCGTCTCAACGACACAGTTGTTATGCTTTATTATATTCTTCCTTGTTTACTGATATGAAAAGCTGTACTTCTCTTCCCCAGCCATCGCGTGGTTACCAGTGGACCGAAGGCCTCCGCTGTTCTATATGTAAATCGAATTATGAGAAGTGACAGGAGATCTGGCTGTGTGGATACATAGCTACTATAAATGCATCAAATGAGTTTCAATCCGCCAGTGTATGAATGGATTTGTTGGCTGGGGAATCTTCTGGTGAATTTCCAAGTTAATATTAGAAGCTCTCACCTTTGCTACATCAACCTCGGGAACAATGTGAGCCAGCTGAAGACCTGTCATCCACATAAGAACTGACAGGTGAAGATGGTTGTTTGATTATTATGTTGAATGATGAAGGCTGTACTGATGGTACGGTTTCATGTGCGCTTTTGTGTTGGTTTGGTTTTAACCTAAAAAAAATGTTAAATGAGTTGTTATGTTTCGAGTTTTTTTTCTTATGTTTGATTCTCATGAAGTTCATGTTGAACGGTGAAATTGTATTATTAAGGAATAAAGGTAATGTCAGGTTAAAACAAGGAGAGTTTGACTTTCTGAAGTCACTTTAGTTAAAGTCAATTATAAAGGCAAAACTTAACGCCAACAGGGCTAATTTCATTTTATAGGTGTCTGACCGGTCAGTCGAAGACGCCAACATGACAAGACCGTGTCGGAAACCTGGCGTGAATATCACATTGGTCACATTAGTATTATGGTGGGAAAAGCTCCATAGCAGATTAGCTTGACTATATTTAGCTCCCAGGTTAGCAACTAAAAGCTAACACGTCAGGGTGCGGCAATGACTGTGCTAACTCACCGCAACAGGTAAGAATCTTGCTCTGACTATCGATATAATACGGTCACCAACTCAGGCACGTTATTAAAGCGGGACTTTCTACCTGAGCACGATCTCCAGGGAGCTCTCGTGTTTGTCCAGCGGCCTTCCCAGCGCGTTCTTACGGAGCTTGTTCAACTCCTCCACGGCACGGATGTACTCCCCCTGCTCCTCGCCCGCTGGGTACGTAGCGGTTATGAATTTAGAAAGCGGCTTCACCAGCTCCACCTCGGAGGACTTTTTCAACGGCACTGAAATAAACGTCGCCATTTCGGCCCCGCGAAAACGATGTATTAAATCGGAAAAACGGGCGATAACCGACCAGCGAACACAAACAAGAGCGAGCGACCCCACTTCCTGGTTTCTGACAGGCTACGTCCAATTACGTCATAGGGACGGGACCGGCGCACTGCGCAGAATCAGCGCGGGGCAAGACCGGGAGTTTTGTATGTTTCTTGGAGTATAAACGAAATACATGATACAGCAATACAATATTCACTTAATTGTTGTTGATTGTTTAATCATTTTAAATGTGCTTACTACAAAGACATGCCAGCATATCTTGATCATCTTTATTGTGGGTCATTCAACTACAGTTGAATTAGTAAGCACCACCTGTGTCTGCAATGACTGTCGAAAAAAATATTTAATTCATTAGAATTCGGTTTTAAAGCGATAAAACAGGAAAAAAGTGGGTGAAATGGTTAACTATTTTTCCCTCGAGCCTAAAGCAACACCAACATATTTAATACTGAGTGTGTTTGTATGCTCATTCATTTAATACTGCCTCATTTTAAATGTGAACTATTCCTATAAATGTATAAACTTTAGTATTAAATAACCCAACCGTAAAGTCTCATAATGTTGGTTTATACTGTGCCATAACAGAACATATTCCCTTATTACTACGATCAAGCTACATGGTGAACCAGGGAATTCTAGTCCCAGAGTGCTTCCAACTTTGTGGGATGGAGCAACACCCTATCAGCCCAAAATACAATTAATGTAATGATGGGAAAGTAAAAAGGCCGTACAAAAAAGCAACACATGCCCCAGGTGTCCTCTACCGGCTGTTTACAGTCCACTGTAGGATGCAAATGTATATTAGCCTTTGATACAATTACCGGTGGGGGGTGAACATGATTCTGGATCCTAAAAATCTATTTTGGGAGAGATCTTTGGCAGCTGCTTTGTGCTCAACGAACAATATTAGCCGCCGCCCTATATTTCCTTTATAATACAACAAAAGGCCACGGTTCACTCTGTCATCTGTGATGTCATGCAATACCACAACAGGGGTTGAAATCTGAATATAACTTTCCTGCATTGCCAATGAACGCTGTTATGAATTAAGACAAAAATAGGTTTAGATTCATAACTGCCTAAAAAGATTTTCTTTCAAAATTAAGATTTTGCCAGTGGAGGCTGTTGTATAATGTCGCTGTATGGGTTTGATAGAGCTTTCAAAGTCTGTGGAAATAATCCAGATGACGTTATCAGTTGTCTAAAAAGCAGGGCAATCAGTTTAAAAGACATTGGCATTGAGAATTTGGATGATCTAATGTAAACGCCCAACTTTAAACAAAAATATATGCAACTCTTTTTTTGCTCCCATCTTTCCCCCATTGTATTGCTCAAATTTGATGTGACACATGTAGTCGAGTATTTTTTCTTTAGTGAGATAATCAATCCCCCTGATAGGCACAGGTGGGGCATATTTGGATGCTGATTTACCAGCATCATTATGACACAGGAGCAAGCACTGGTTATTGGTGGTCATTTGAATGCAGCCCAGTCCAGCCCACACCTCCCCTTAGAACACCCCATTGGTTGTCTCTTTATAGTCATGTAAACTGTGTCTGGTCTTCCAGATGAAACTACATTTTAAATTGGCCTTTATATGTCAGCACAGCGGTCTAATAACTAAACGGTTAAATGAGCATCTTGATATCCCACAACACTAACAGAGCGTAGACACAACTTGAAAGAAACAAGCTTATTTTGTGTGCATTGAAAAGGTGTGGAGTTTTCAAATTTCAACTGGTGGAAGACAGGACCATAACAATTATTTACATTTCATGTTGGTCCAGAACTAAATACGTATCCCATAAGAGCTTGGACAGCAATCTCTTTTCTCTCAGTCAACTAAAAACTATGCAACACTACTAAAAAGCAGAGCAGGACACCAGAGAAAGTTATGAAATCATTTATTCCCAGCACATTGTGTACATCTCCAGCATACGATACTGTGCACATGAGAAGCATCATCATTGACATTATGCTGTACATGAACAGTGGTCACCTCTCCTGCACACAATCTCTCTCAAACACACACACACTCGGTCACACGGACAGACGAGATGGTTGGTCAGGCTTTCAGGGGACTAAAACTGCTCACCAGAGTTAGCCTGACTTGGTGTCACATCCGTTCCGTTACTGAACACACTTAATGTGCTGTGGCACACGGTCCTTGTAAAAACCACAAGAGCTACAGTCCTGGCTCTGGCGCACGGGGAGACAGAACACGGATGCTTTTTTTTTTTTGTTTTCCTTATAGGCGGGTAAGAAAAGGGTGCGGCTGTAGGACTACTGACCACACACTGAGCTTGAGTTTTGTGATTTCTCAGTGCAGACTTGGTCTCTAACAAGGAAAAACAAGAAGTGTTATAGTGAACCAAATTTATCCCTCCTTTCCCCCCCATCTTCCACATGCTCTTTACTAAACAGCAAGCTAAACAGTTTCATCATACCAACTACTGACATAGTTAAGTTTTCTTTGCAAGAACTAAAGGTTTGATACACATGCACACACATTCTGACACTTAGAAGCGTGCAAACTGTATGCACTTGAAACACTGCCAGACATTGTGTATCGAACTTTAAAAAAAAGGGGGTCAAATAAACCAACGAGGACCTGTGTGAGATTTCCTGTCCCTTTCCAAACGGCACCCGAGAACACGTGAGCTGCACTTCCTGTGTTCAGTTACGTTTAAAAAACAGGTTTTATGAAGATGGAGCTGCCATGAATTTTCTAGTCTACGGGACAAGACTCTTAAAAACCAGGCTACCACCGTATGACGGGTGGTGCGGCGCACAAGAGAGGGTTACACTTTGCATCGGATCAGTTCTATTAATGATTCTAGAAGACCAAGATGTGTAGAACCAATGAGGCTTTTCCTCAAAAGAAAATAAATAAAAGACTATCCATCCAAAACCTGTTTGGTCCACATTATAGGTATTTTGGGTAGGCGTTAATGCTCTGCATGTCAGTTTTCTACAACAGTTTTGTTCCTCCGTTTCTTCGCGTTTATCGCGAAAGTACCAGAAGGAGTAAACCGCACTCCTCTAAACCAGTGTTTCAAAGTCAGCACAGGAGCCAAAGGTGAGGTGCACGTGCACTGTGTTTGTGAGTAAGAGATCAGGCTAAAAAGACGAAATGGCACCAGCAACGAGTTCAACCAGAGCCATAGAAACAGCCGATCCTCAAACAAAGCGGCAACTAAAAAATAAAAATAAACGGTAAAAGCCGAACAGGACGAACGCGAAGGGGTTTGAGCCGAGTGTCACGACAACAGACCGAGAGACAGGGCAGGAATTCTAAAATAACACAACTATGTGACAATAGTTACTGTAATCAGTCCGTCTGTCGAAGGAAAACAAAGAAATTAATGTTGGTGTCAAAACACACCAACGGCGCCACTTCCCTAGATTTAGCCTGGATGTTTTTCCGGGGGTCACCAGGCTCAGCTTATTAACAAATGGTTCATTAAGCTGACCCACAACGTTACACAAGCAGAGTAAATTGCGGGGTTCTCGCTGAAGCGGGTTAGTACGTCGAGATCGCATGCTGTGCAGCAGTACAGGTTATCAAAATACTGGCCTCGTGCTGGTTGAGCGGAAAACGAGCGATAAGGAAACTCTGCTTTCTGTCCTTCTCACGCCTTATCCCCGTGGAAACCATACAAAGGACAAATAATAAAATCAAAACACATACATACATCTTGCCCCTGACATCACACGCCCTCCCCCTGCCTCTCCCCTTATAACTAAACTCCTCCATTATAGTGTTTTCAATATGAAACAGTGGACACACCCATGTCAGATTCTAACATTTACATGGCTTTAGCGCAGTCTGACTGCTTCCCGTGGAGCGATCGTTGGGAGAGCGAGAGGAAGCAAGAGGAACGAGTCGAGGCAGGCGGAGAGAGGGACAGAGGGAGGCTTCTGCTCCAAAGGGGAGGGTGGAGTATTAGTGATGCCATCTGTCCTCCGCGCTACTTCAGGATCAGATGGAGTCCTTCGCCCAGTTCATCTGGATGGGAAAGAGGAGGAACGTTACACTCTGCCGAGCCAAATCGGATGGTAGGACACTCTGCGGGGGGCGTTATGAGCTCACCTTTGACAGTGCTGATCAAAAAACAGCTCTCGTCGGGCAAGTTGTAAACCATCTAGAAACAACAAAACAAAACGTGAAATGTGCTTTTCATCAGATGTAACCGAAAACGAGCGATGCGGTACGGCACAGATGTAAATCCCATGCAAATAAGGGACAGAGGAGTTGTTTGTGGTCTCATAATCACAGAGTGAATGAGCCGCAGACACAGTCTTGCCTTTTACTATTGTCCCTGAACTGATACGAAGACTTTGCCAAATCAATATTGGAGAGACAGAGATGCTAAACAACTTCCATTCATTGGATTGCAGCATGTAAAGAAGGATTAAGACAATATTCACAGTTTTGCAGATGGTTAATTATTAATCACCAATAATCTCAATAGCTAAAAAAATCAAAGGCTCTTTAGGGATCCATGGTGATGGGTTTTCCTGCTTAAAAAAGGAGCGTTTTGAATGCCTCCCGGAGTTCATCGTTTTTTTAATCGAAACATCCGTCCCAATACACTGGACTAGACTGTGATAATCCAGGTTTCGTATAGGAGGGGAGTACCTGGTCACTGAGCATGATGTGTATGCCCGTCGGACCCTGCCTGTACACCTGGTTGATCGTCCCCAGTGGAAGGTTGCACACACACGCCATCTTGCGGATCAGTTCTGCAGCTGTGAGGTCCTCCAGGTACAGAGCATGATACACTGCGCAAAAGCCGGGGCGAAAGAGGCGTTAATATTTTCACGCACGCACTCCTCCGTGGACTCACACCAGGGTTACACTGCGCTGGTTTACCGTGTAAACTAGAGGGAATGCTGTGTTCTCCGTTTTCACTGGTGGCGTGTCTCTCCAGCAGGGGGCTCTCCTGGGGGGACTCCTGACAGACGTACACCGTCAACCTGGGACGCACTGACCTGCACACAAACGTAAGGATGAATGCAAAACACACGTTGGCGTTTATGCCTGTACAGGTGTGTACACCCACAAAGAGAGGCGCACACACACACACACACACCTGGATTTAAGTGCATTGAAGAGTCTGATCCCATCTGCCGGCCCACAAATCTGGACCAGGTCATCCCGGGTTAGTTTCAACAAATCAGAACCTGGGCAACAAGACGGAGAAATCACTACTGTAGCGGTCACGACGCCACATCCGTGTTTTAGTGAGTACAACAGGTGTGTGGTCGTTTGTGTCTACCTGAGAAGTGAGAGAACAGCCGCGCGTAGGAGTTGAAGCGATTCTTCAGCAGCCACTTCTGTGCGTCCTGTATGGTGGCCGTGGGGCTCAGCTGCTGCAGAGAGGGACAAGCGACGCACTTGGTGTCAACACACTTTCACGCCGGGGTGTGAGTGCATTCTCGTGGTGGAATCGTGCACACTGAACAGTTTTTCAATGTTTGACGCAACTAGGGCTGAACTAGCGAAACGTCTGAGCCACCGTCTGATCTAAGGATTCACTTGGTCAAGAGCGATTCAAGAATCTACCACCGGTCTAAAAAAACCCCCCGAAAAAACATTAAATTATTTACCCTTTCCACCAAGTCATACAGGAGAGAAGCGTGGAGGCTGACCTCCGAGTTGCCGAGGCTGACAGGGTCTGCCTGGTGATTGGGTGAGGACGACTCACTAGAAACCAAAACATTGTAATTGAGTTAAGCAAAATCAAAATCAACTCACTCACACACAAACAAATGAACACACACCTGTCCGGTATGGAGGATGTTGTGTAGGTGGACAGGGGGGTGGAGGCAAAGGAGGGAGTAGCTGCCTGGTTGGGGCTGACGTAGGCGTCTGGCCACGGCGAGCACTGCGGGGACGCACAGATATATAAATACACAATTAATCACACTCACTGGGCTAATAAACATTGCAGGCCCACTCCCCGACAGAAAAAGGCTTAAAAAGTCAAGCTGGGATTTGGGAATTTAGCTTTGCCCCGTCTCCATCCCACCGAATGTCAAATACATGGCATTGAAAAAATATAATGGCCTCCTTTGCAGCAGCTGAGGGTCTACAAGCTTCAGGCTGCAGCCAGGTGTCTACAGGAGAGGGGGGGTGGGTGGAGGGGTTGCGGACTGTGGATGGAGTGATGGGGAGGAGAGGGGAGCAGGGTGCTTACACTGCCTCTCTTGGCCAAGGAGTCGCCACAGTCAGCGGGAAGTGTCCGCTTGCTGGACTTTTTCAGCTCGTGGTCACCCGCATCCTCTATGATGGGTTCAAGCCTCGTCTACATACAGACACACAGCAGAGGTTAGCCAGCCAGCGACCGACACACAAACACAACCGACGACCTGCGCTCAAGTGTAGACAATTTGAAAACTTCAATTAATTCTCCCCCCCTCCTCCCCCCCACCAATAAAAGCCTGTGACACAGAAAACATGGTAATGATGAAGCCTCGATAGACCAATCAAAAAAGGAGTACCGTTCCCGTAGATTTTAAATGTCCGCTCTGCTTTATTTGTGACACCACCTTTGCTTCTGGGTGGGTGGGGGGTGGGGGGGGGCCGTTGGTAGTGCAGCAGACTGCATCTACGGTTTATTCTTTCCTCTACGAGCTAAACTAGATCACTAGACGAGACACAATCCCGGTGATCTACGCGCCGAAGCTTCACAGCTAACTAACAGTGCTCGCTGGTTTCTATCTCAACATTACTGCCAACCACTTCCCAAAGCACACCAGACAACAAAGCGCCCTCCAAGGCAGCCGTTTGTTTCCGTTCGCGTGGCTACGGAGTGAAAATACACAACAGGAGGATCTCCTCGGCACAGGCAATCCATCACACCCGTCACTTTGACCGTTACATCGAGTTCGATCGCCATCACACTTTGAAGCACTGCGGTCCGGGAGCAGATTGCGGTGGCGTTTTATTGATGTTACAAAGAGAAGCTGCCCCGTTTAATACTGGCATTTCACTTCAAGAGCTATGGGCTGTAGGGCGGGCAAAGGAGGGTGGGGGGGGATAAAAGAAAGACCATAAGCAAAAGCAAAAGAATAAAAAAGGTGCTGTTCCGTATTTTCTTTGGGGTTGTTCTGTATTTTAATGGATTCATCCAATCATTGGTTGATCCAAAAAGGTAATCAGCTATTAGCCATCGGGAAATAAGGAAAAAAAAGTTGCAGCTTTCCATATGCAACAATTTACTTCTATGGTCTGTTTATGAATATGAATAGTTTTATAGACTAAGCAATTTGAAGACGTCACCATGCGTCAACTGTCAAGTCGGAGGATAAGATTTAAAGAATTCATACGTGTTTGACAAGATGGTTGGCAGTGATATAGAGCACCAGTGAGGCCCTTTACCCAACACATGGCGGGCTGCTTAAAAGAAACAGCATATTGCTTACTTTGGTGCATACATTTTAACATAAGTAACCACCCAAAGTTAAAAACCGGAAGCTTGCTAGTACTTCAGTTTGTGCTAAAGACATGTATCTGTATGGCATGACAATCTAGAGCCGCTGCATACTGACCTCTGACAGGATAGTGGTATCATAAGAAGGCTGGTACTTCTCCTTCTCTTGAGGAGAGCGTTTCTCCATCTTCTCCCGGTCCGTCTTTTGCTTGCGGTCCGCCCCCTTTGGCTAAACCGGAAGCGGAAGTGAGGAGCGGATTTAAATTCGGCTGCGAGGGGCCCGAAGCATGTTCAGGGAGTGAAAAATTAGAGACGGAGCGTGTACCTTAAAGACTTTGATTTGGCAGGATGCGGAGTGGAGGTGCTCTGTGTACTCTCCGGCGTCTCCCTGGGCAAACGTGTCCAACTGGATCCTGAAGGGGACGCCCTTCTCCCCGCCGTGCTTCCTGGGAGTGAACTCTGTGCTGATGCAGTGCACCTGTAGACAGAAGGGAGACGCGTGAGAGGAACGTTCGTATCTGGTTTGGACATTCACCGGATCTCCCAACAGACAGCAGATGTGCGTGTGTGAATGAGGAGGTGTGTGTGTGGGTGTGTGTGAATGAGGAGGTGTGTGTGTTACCTGCACAAACACAGAAGTTCTTTTGTTCAAGTCCCACAGGAACTCCGCGGCATTGAGCTGCGAGGGGTGAGTCTTCGGCTCCACGATGCCCACTGACATGGGGATATCTGTCTCACACACACACACAGATATTTGAAGTCTGAGTCAGACACACGCCAGACAATTTAGGTCAACATGTCTCGCCAGGTTCTCTTTACCGATGTCAAGGAGACGGTCGCCCGGACGATTCCACTTCCAGCCCTCCAGCTGCTGGTGCTCTGTGTACTGCAGCCGGCGGTCATGGAACACCACACGCACTATGCTCTACACACACACACACACACACACACACACCAGGTTAGGTATAAATTATATGTGACAAAGTCCCCCCCCTGCAGCTGTGAGGATCCTCTCACCTTCACCATCTTATTGGTGAGCTCGGGCAGCTCTTCTGGCTTCCTGTTGTCCAACATGCGCACCTCGTAAGATTGGCCTGAGAGAGAGAGATCACATAATCAAAGGCCAAGGAAAGATGAGAGCTACTGACAACTCACGGTGAGTGAAACCAAACCCCGTCCTCCCATCTTCATGGAGGACGGTTCTTTTAGTTTGTGGTGTAATTTAGGTGTAGTCCATTTTTTATGTCTTCATGCATATTATATGGTTTGACAATGTATGATTATGAAAAGACTCAAATGTCTGAACATGGCCAGCCGTTTAGTAGCTCTTTAATTGTAGCGCTGCAGATGACAACGCTCTAGGTTTCCAATGAGCTGCTTTACAAAAAGGGCCCTTCACACTGTGGGACTTTGGTCTGTTACAGAGTAAAGACAACAATTGGAGAGCTCTCGGAATGAACGGTCACATCACTTCTCGTATCGGTTTTCTTTTTCATGCACACAGTGGAACACGTATTCATCGCACCATCTGATCCCACCAACATTTTGTGTCAACATGGGCGGGGTACTGTGTACATTCTTTGCACTAAAAGAAGGAAATATTGTGTTGTTGAGCTTTGCTCAAGGGAACGCGGCCACGGTTTTCATGTGAACACATGTGACGAGCAGTATGCTACATGCCAGAGATGCTCACAAGTCTCTGAGCTAGAGTCCAAGTCAAGTCTCAGGTCTCTTGTGGTTAAAATAAGTGTTGCCACACGGATATTAGCTCACAATTATATGTCCGACAAAGCCCATCTGATACCACAAGGCTATGAACTGAAAAAAATGGTACTCTGGGTATCAAGAAAATATTGCAAAATGTATAAGCAATGACTATTTGTTTTTCACTTGCAGAGCGTAAAAATTTGTTCCCGTAACGTTGGGTCGTAGCTAAAGCAAGAAGCAAGCTAACGGTAGATGGTCAATGCTTGCTTAGCTAAACATGTTTACTCACCTATCAGGGTGAGTAATACCGCATAAATTGTATTTCGCGGTTCTTTTGTTGCCGTCTTGTAGGAAAGTTTTGAACCCAAAGCTCACAACGAATGGCACAGCAGCGGCCGGTGCATTCGACATCTTTGACAACAAATTGGCCGCGCGTGCACACACGCCCCACAGCAGCCAGCTGCGCCGCAGCCAGCAAAATATGTCAATGTACGTGTTACGTAGGCAGGTATCGGAGGGAAACATCTGATCTGCTATACCGAGCTCATCAGATGTTTCATAAAATTAAACATTGTTCACGAGTCCCAAAGCTCGAGTCAGAGTTGAGTCTGAAGTCTTTTGAGGACGAGTCTCAAGTCACTGTGTGTGCGAATTAAGTCGCACTCGAGTCCGAGTCTCAAACTCGAGTCCCCATCTCTGCTACATGCATGCTAACACAATGACATGAATGACCGGACCACCTTTTACACAGCCCGCTCCGCAGTTTGAAAAATATCTTGCATTAGCAAACAAAAAGACCGTAAGTGGCATTTTTGCCACACTGGTGATTTTTTTATAATTCCATGATTACAAAATCCATTTCTGAGTATGAATTAAGTTAAATCCTCTAATTCCACAACAATGTGGTTCAGTAATTGATGTATTGTCTCGCAGTCAAGCATTTAGAGACATAAGTTCACACATGTTGCTGCCTCTCATTAAAATGAGTATGTTGCCAGATCCTTCCTTTGCTAAAAATCCCCTTTTCTGACAACGAATAAAAGTAAATCGCCATTTGTCACCCATAAACCGAAACTTTGCCTTGGGTGCATGTATTGTGCGTCTCACCTTGGTTCAGGTATGTGAGCGTCTCGTCGTGCAGCTTGACAGCAGGCGAGGTGGCAGCGCACAGCACATACTGGAATGGAGGGTTTTTGGTCTCGCTTTCGGGAGGCAGGCTGGAGTCCTCCTGCTTGAAGATTGGCAGAGCCAGCACATCGCTGAGGGGAACAGAGGAGAGAAAAGCGTGCGGAAAGTCAGCGCAGGTGTGACGCCGTAAAGGAGCGCAAAAAGAAAAAACATCATTAAAGAAAGACAGCCGAGCATCCTTGGCCGTTTATATTAAGTCTTTGTTGAATCTCAAAACCTCCCCGATGGCAACACAATCCATGTGAACCTCCATCAACAGCAAAAGTTGTCACCCTTTGCAGCCATTTCTAAAAGAATTACACCAAATTGGTTCGTGCCCGCTTATCCCGGGACAACGCGTTACCTATTATTGAATGGACTATGATATTTTAGAAGTGTGCTGAAGGCTCTCCATCGATCAAATGCCTCTCCTGTTATATATGCATGAGGCTGCAGCAGGGTTGATGAACAAAAACACCCAGAGACGGCCTGAGCTGCTGACACACACTATCTCTCACAACTTGGCAGCCACTCTAGACAACCGACCCGTCCTCGGCTCACCCCGACAAATACTGCAAGAGTGTCACCTGGTGCAGTGACCTGGAGTGTATGTGTGTGGGGGAAGGGGAGATCTCAGTGGTTGTGCAAAAAAGACCATATCATGCAAAGAAATGCATATCACGGCCCTCCATTACATGCAAAACCTTTTGCAAAGATTCTGCTCTAAAAGCCCAAGACAAGCATAAGATGCATGCAGGTCCCGTAGGCTTAAATGTCAGCACCTCACATAACCGAATACACACCCAAGAGTGAGTAACTGAACAGGTGGTTTACAACCGTATCCGCTTCGATGCCAACACAGTCCTCCATAAACCATTAAGCGAAGACAGAAACGTAGCCGTCCTCCACCGGCTCATTATCATTTATAATGCTGACTAACCTGTTTCACTGATTCAACATATCCCACATTTTAGGGAGAGATGTTGGAATAACCGGAGGGACCAGAAACTGGTGGCATGTTTGCTTTCTGAGAAAGCGACAGACTGTGTGTGACTACTACAGCAGATTAGAATGTGACAACCCGAGATAACGTTGTGTTCCAATAACATACATGTACAGTCAATAGTGATGCCCCTTTCACTGCCGTGGTTTGTACACAATGTGTTAGAAAGTAAGTTTGAAAACACAGCTGGACAGACCACTTTTCTGAGGCGGATCCGGGGGATTAACTCGTTAGTTGTTGAAGAATCCACGGCGAGCATTCAACTCTCGTGTCAAAGAGTTAGAATTTCCTGCTTGCTGAGATCGGTTTGTTTACTTATTCATAGGACATTGGTAGGTACACTCATTTCCAATTAAAATGTTAAAACTCAAAGTTTTTAGGGAACGGTTAATGTTATTTAACATGAATGCATTATGCAGTTTATATTAAGTATTACAATTTGCTTTTGTACTTTGATAAATATGAATCACTGATCTGAAAAATACACCAGCTGTCACAGAATTACTGTAGTAAGAAATAAGTGAAGAAAAGCACTTTTTCTGCAGCTTCCACCAAGCTGAAAAATCAAGAAAATCAGAACCATCAAGTTGCACATGTAACGATATTGTTGCCGTACACCACTGAGGAGTTTAGGTCTCCTTTAGACAAAACACACACACACACACACTGTAAGCAGCAGCATGAACCATCAAAAGGTTTTCGTCTGTCACAGTACAACACGTGTCGTTTTCGTTGATGAGGTTGGGAGGAATTCATCTCTGTCCCTGATCGTGGCTCCCTGCGACGATCGCCCTCCAAATCCCAAAACAAAGGAGAGGCCATCTCACCCAGTACAGAGAGGAACCAAACACAAACACACACACACACACACGGGCATGAGAGAGGACGCTGCACTCTCATGGGATGGGCATGGGCGCTAATGTACAGGGAAAGTGGGGTTGACATGTTGACCCCGGACTCTAACCTCATGCTGTAGGCTCCGGCCCCCAGCTCCTGGCCGATTCCCGACAGACTGGCGTCAAAGTCGTGCACCAGCCCCGACTCTATGCTGGCGTCGTCCATCTTCAGCACCCAGGCCATCGGCCCCAGCTCCTTGTCCTCGGCTTCTACTCGGAGGGCCGCCAGCTTGCTTCGGGTAACGGGGGCTGTCGGCTAACGACGGGTAAGTACGGGGTGTGGAGGAGGGAGGGGGGGCGCTCCGCAGCTTCCGTGAGACTCCGTGAAGAGGAAAGTTACGCTGCTAGCCAGTTAGCCGCCGCTGGGCGAGCGAATCGGTAGCTTTCCACTGAGTCCGGGTGTATCGCCATAGCTCCACTCGGGGCCGGGGTGCTTTTGAACAACGCGACACGGTGCTCCGGTGGTAAGCGGTCGACTCCGGTCCACTCAGGTAACAACTGTTGGTCGTGACTAGAGATGCGAGTCGACTGGCAGCATGCTAACGTTAGCTAGCACTTGCCTAGCTTTACGAAGGCAACTTAACGCGAGCTTACGCCGAACCCATCGGGCCCCGTTGTTGTTAGCCGAGTCCTCGGGCAGTCCAGCTAACGTTAGCCCGACGGAAAGCAAGAAAAATAAAATACGATGTTGTGTTAGCCCACACGGCTCATCCCACTCAGCGCCCGCACAGCTGTTGCTACCTAGCTATCGGGCTAACTAGCATCAACTTCCACTTGCTATGAATCAATCGCGTGACCTAAGAGAGGCTCTCCTCGGACGCTGCGTGTACCATCCCAAGCCGCTCTTCTCTTCTCATAGCGATGCTGGAATCACCGATAAGGCTCCCCGGCCTTGAGACGCAGTCCTTTAACCATCCAAAGTGCAGCGGTTGACACAGAACCAGGCATCAACATGGCTCCCTCAGCGTACAGACGGTCGCTCCGTGAAGCCTGCAGCGCTAGTGCCACCGCAAGCCTTTCCGGAAGGATGCCAGGGCGGCGGTCAGCCAATCAGCGGCGCAGTCTGTGACCAGCGCAGGCGGATTAGCCAATCAGAAACCTCGGAGCTTCCGTCATTGTGTCAGACTGTACTTTCGCTCCGCCTCCCAGAAAGTATAATACATGCATTTATAAAGTTAATACTGCAACAAAAAAATAGACATCGAAAGCGACACTGTAGATATACGCAAACCTCCTACGCCATGAACGCACACAGCCATGGGTTATTGGTCCAGACGTAAACGTATAATTTATATGCATGTTAATCTACTTTGTTGACTATTTTGGCAATACAACAAATAATTAAGACAACACCAAGGTCATTAAGTAAACATTTCACATGTAGGTTCGTGAGGTTCTTACCTTGTGTAACTGCTGACGCCGGGTTCGGGGACTCTAAAGTTTTCAGTGTAAGGCTGCCAGAACAACATCGTGTCTCACAAACAGCTGTCACTATAATATACGACTCCAAAAAACGCGCACAACTCAGCCGGAATCCGAGTAGGTCCAGACAGGAGCTGGTGTCTGTCCCATGTCAGTGTGGGAGAGGAGTTTGCATTTCGTCGGTTTCAGGCGAGTTGGCTTATCATCAATAATGATCCACTCGGTCGGACCCTGGACGTGACGCGCGGTCTGTGGGTGGTTATAAGTTTTTTTTTTTTTTTTTTTAACCGAACAGGTTTCCTGCCCTATTTTATGCCCAATTGGAGAGACCCACCTCGGGACTATGATGACTGCGTCTGACGTTCCACACTATTCACCACCAAAGATAGTAAAATGAGACTTGAACCCATGTTAGTGTTGCATCATTACATATATTATGTTACTGGATTGTTATGCATTAAAGTGAAAGCTGCGCTTTCGGTTTCAGCCGGTCGAGGGGGGAGTTAATTAGTTGGAAAGCTGGTTAATAAATACTTTATACGTTGGGTGTTTCATAACATGCACCGTCCTTTCTGCACTGTTCTGTGTTGAATCTAACTCTCGCGGTTATTCATCCCTGAATTGTAGAAGTATGAAATAACAGCCAATAACTTGCCAATGCAAGTAGGCTACGAGCATCCTAAAAACTGTACTTTTGAGGACGGACGGCACATTAACTGCAGACTTTGTAGGTTGGGAGATGATCGCAGGCTTGTGACGTGTGAGAGCTCCTCTTTAGCAGCTCCTCAGTTTACAGCTCAGAGAACAGATGCAAACGTGAAATTCAGCACCGGTTCCATATGTTGTAAATTACATAACAAGTGTTCAACGTGTGTTATGTAATTTACAACATATGTCCAAACCAAAATGCTATAAACTGGAGTCAGATTTTTTTTGTGCCATAGTAAGTTACATTTGAGTTTTTCTTGGGAAAACAAGTAATTTGAACAAGTTTAAGAGGTTGTGATGGGAACTTCACAACAATTTCTTTAAATATATGGACAAAATAATAGGATTGGACAAAAGGCATAATGAAAATACCAAAATAAATCAAAAGTTCTGGACAAAGACGGAGGTATTGTCTCCTGCAAAAACCAGAGGAGTCGGGGCTCATCATGACCTGTACAAGTTCTTTATTGTAATGTAAGCACAGCTTTGTAAATGCACAGAGGAAACAACTGTGAAAACTAGAATGTTACTAGAACTAGAAGAGGAGGGAACAAAAGACACGACAAATAGAAGAGAAAGGGGTGACATGACGATTTGTTTTCAGAGCTGTAAATAATACATTTCTACAAATTTTTCAGCAGAGAAAAAAAATTAAAGTGAGAGACACACACACACACAACGGCTAGCGCAACAGAGAGAAAATAAAAACAAAGATGGGCATGGGTGCGGTCCGCACTACCCTGGGGAACTCTCCTAAATGACAGTTAATGGATATTTTATTTTAATATCATATATAGATACATATCCACTATGTGGTAATAAGTCATGTCCTGTCATACTTCATGTAGTGAGCAGCACGCACTCATTTTCCTCCCCCGTGTTGCCCGAAAGTGGAGTGACCCAAGATGAGCCGGGAGGAACGGAGGACACCATGAATTTATCTGAAAGGGGCGGACATTGTTCACATTGATTTAAAACCTCAGTCACACCATGACTGTCGATCAAACTCCAATAAAAACTGCTTATTTTTTCTGTTAAAGTTAGTCTCATGCATAGCAAACCACAAAACACCTCCTGTGCTTTGTGGACCCCCACGCTGTCTTCACCCTGAGCAGGCGGGACCCGCTCTGAACGGCTAATCAGCACCTTTTTTTAAAGACAGAAAGTGTGTGTCTATGTGTGTGTGTGTATGTGAGAGAGGGGAAAAACCTCCAGACATTTATTTCCGCTGCAGTAAAACCGCATCACGTAAAATAAATCAAAACTATGACACACTGTAAATTTACATTCCTCTCTACCTGGCCCCAGTTACTCACTTTTCCAGAAAGACACAAGACGGCACCATTCGTTTGTCTCTGCTTCTTTCCAAGAACCTGACCCCGTTCAAAATGAAAACCATGCGGACGCACTTCCTGTCCACATCAGGATGTTATTCAGAGGGGATACTGTAGTGTTCGGGACAGAGGACGGACATTTCATATCTTCATTCTTGAGTGATTAGTGACGAACCTGGGTGTGACTGGATGCGTGTTATCGGTTTATATTTCAGGGTTCAGCGATGGTGGCAAGAACTACAACACTCTTTCTTTCTGCACCACAACCCCCATCCTGTAGTTTGGGATTGCGTGTATCTGTGTGTGTGTTTCATTCTGCTGGCCAGAGTGCGGTGCACGTGCGGTTGTAAGCAGTTTTCGGGTGTCTGTTTTGTTCTTGGTCTGTGTGGGTGAGAGTTCATGAACCAATGTTTGTGTTCGGCGCGCAGCGTGGCAGTTCCGCGGGAGTGTGCAGCGTCTCCTATAGGCCCTCAGGCGGAGGTTCAGCGCCGCTCGAGCCAGACTGGGCGCGCTTGATGTACAGATTCAACAGCTTGAGCTGGGGATGGAGAAACAGACAAAGGATGGATGTGAAAAAGTGTTTAAGTGTGTGTTCACACATGGTGAACATTTGGATCGCAAGCCTGTTGGCTAAAAATCTCCTTCATATATTAGTTTCAATAGAATAGCTGTATAGATCTGGTTACCTTGCTGCTGGAGAGTTGGTTGAGGTGCGGTTTGAGGTCCTCTCCGATCACTGCATAAATGGCCACCAAGCAGAACACGCAGGCTTTCCTTACACTGCTCTCAGAGTTGTCGTAGCCCTGTTAGACCAGGTACAACATTACAAACCTGCGGCACACTTTTTTCAAAACAAAGGTGTGTGCTCATGTATGAATGTGTGGGTGGTGTTTGAGGACAGGAGGTGCATTTGTTTTTTTAATAAACAATGCGCCCGCTATCATACTTCTGCGTGTGTGCTACCTGTATGAGTCCTGGCACTATCTCAGGCAAGAGGCTCATCAGGCCCTCGCGGGGGACCCTCTCCACTACTTTGGTCTGCATCTTGATGGCAGCCAGGTTGATGGGGTAGTCGGCTGACTGGATGATGGGACACAACACCTTGACACACTGGTCCGGACTGATGGACAATGCCAACATGGCCGCCGTCTCCTCTGCTGCTCGAATCACCTGCAGGCGGGCGCACACACACACACACACACACAAAGTGCATCAGTGGCTGAATATATTCACAAAAATAAGAAAAACTGCTAGTTGGATATGAAAAGCATAATTCAACAGTAAAGGAGCAATACCGCATCTGTCTACCTCGAATGCACTAAAAGCACCGGATCACTGTCTTTCAACAATTGGCGGAAAAATGTATTTGTAATGAACTGAGAGATTTTGACTCTTGAACAGCAAGCAAAACGTTATGTTCTCGTGGCCTCGGCATCGGCTGCATGCTCCAGGTCAGACTGGAGAGGCGTTAAAAGATAGATTAGTTGTACTTTGAACACTGTATAGCAATAATGAGACATTTAATGGTAAAATACAATATAGCCAATATCAAATAAGCTTCATTTGGGAGGTCTCCCTCCCGTATTCTGGCACCTTATTTGTTTGTTTTTTTCAGTGAAATGAGGACCCATTCTTTGATCATTCATAAAGAATATCTATTGCACCATCTCCTCCCGCTCTCTAGTCCTCATGATGAACAAAATAAGCGCACCTCCTTATGGGGGTCTTTGTGAGCCTCCAGGGCCTTCATGATGGTGAGCTCTGCGTAGTTTTTGAACCTCCAGGGCTGCTTGCAGAGAATCTCCCTCAGCACCCGCAGAGCCAGCGTCCGGATCACATGCTGGGGGGGGGGAAATCACGAGGATGACATTTCATGAGGAAAGAAGTAGCAGTTGCTCCATTTGCGGCGCCATCACAGGAAAGGAGGCCGGCGTGCGTACCTCTCTGTCACCCATCGTTTCCATCAGGAGAAGCAGGATGGTCTTGAAATGCTCGTCCCACACCTGCAGAGTGTTCTCACGAATCAGCTTCAGCAAGTCGCACAGCGCCGCCTTCCTCTCCTCGATGCGCTCGTTGTGATTGGACAGCTCTTTCAGCAGCTCGGCCACCAGCTCTGATTGGTCCAGGCTGCTGTCTGTGGAGAGGCAAGGGGCGATGAAACAAAAAAACACGGGGCGACTACGGTGGTGCTTTTGTTCTTGCGGTGTGGCTGCGTTGCTTGTGTATTTGTGTTGTGTACCATCTGTGAGGTGCTCAGAGTCGTCCATTCTGGTGTCTATGCGGCTGTGCTTGAAGGGAGAATCCGAGAAGTGGTCGCGGGCCCCTCGGGGGCTGGAGGACAGCAAGGGGGTGTTGAGAAGCGACGTCTTGTTGTCCAGGGCCATTCGGCCTCCGTCCACAAAGTCGGACACTTTGCCGTCTGTCCCGCTGTCGCCCTGCAGAGGTCATAAGTATTAACATCCTTCATCATTGTCACAGAAGTCAAAAAATTGTTTGCTTTGGTAAAAAGGTAAAAAAAAAAAGCATTTTATCAGATGAATCACTACATTCAAATTGCTTGGATGATGTCATAAGAACAGATATTGGCAGCAGGGATTTATGTCTGCTATGGGTTTGTCTGCTTTGCTTTCACGGCAACACAAACGGAATCAGGCAGTGACCCCGCTTCATAGCCTCGGTCCAGTTGCTCAGTCTGCAGCAGAGTTAAAGAGAAAGCTTTCAAACTGGACGAAACCAAGCAGACGACAGTTGGGTGTAAACGCATCCTAAAAAGACAAAGAAACACCACAGTGGGCTGACCCGAGAAGACGTACTCAGGATGGATCACCCAGTGAGACCTGGCGTCAGGAGGGTTACGGTGCTCTTATTTCTGTGTATATTTACACACAAACCACTTAATACCAGTATCTGTTCAACAAACCAGGTGTGCATGCTTGCCAGGGTGAGGACATGTGGGCTGGTTAGATTTCACATGCACGGGGGTGTGTTACATCTACGAGAGTACACCATGTACCTTAAAGGGGAATGTCGAAACAGCTCACGTGACGCCTGCAGTCATACATTTTAGAACGAAGAAAAGTAACTCGGCACTAATATTAAAGGCTTATTGTTGGGAAGTTACGGTGTGTTTTTTCAGCCACTGGGATCGTAACAGACGATACACATGTTTTTTATCAGTGGCTGTAGAGGATCAAGTTCATGGCCATCGGTCTCATAAACACCTAATGTATGTGTAAGTTCCCACACTGCAGGGGGAGTGGTGGAAGTGATCACATTTCAGGGTCACATACAGCTAATGCAGCTATCTCTGTGCGTGTGTGCGCGCACCGCAAGTCTTGTCAACATCGTAAAAAATTTGATTTGGTCGCCAAGAATTACAGAAAGAAAAGGTATTTACAACAGCACAGCTCTAGTGGCTCCGAGTCAAGTCCGGACGCATTGTGATGTCCGTCGGCCTGCTGCACTCACCTCCTCTCCCTCCCGCCGTTGCAGCGGCTCGTTCATGTCCTCTTGGCTACGGACACTGAAGTTCTGGATGGCATCCGTGACGCCCTTCAGTGAGCTGTAGATGTCCTCCGAGTTCATGTTCTCTGTGTCGTAGTCGAATGCACTACACACGGAGACGCACAAAGGAAGACACTGAAACCAGGGCTGAAGGGAGTTTTCAAACTGTACTTCATGTTGTGTTACATGTGCTCCTTGACATAAATGTGACCGTATGGGAGAAAAATATTTCAATGGTATGATAAAATCTCATATTACCACAAGGACAAAAACAGGCAGCAGATAAGTTTATATTTCAAACTTTTGTAAAGTTAAGGTTGCAGACTCTCTCTCCAACTCCCTGCACTTCGATTGCCAAAAAGAGACAAAGGCATTGTATTTAAAATTGAATGACTGCCTTTAAAAAAAACATAAAACAACAAAGTATTGCTATCTATATTTCTTTGGGCCCTCATAATTGTGCTGTGATCTATGACTTTGGGCCGCTGAGCCACACTGTGAGCGACCTGGTTTAACCTACACGCACATCTGTAGACTTTACTCCCATCCTCTGTGTACATATTGTCCCGCGTTCGCCACAATGAGTCAATTATTGTCAGACAAGCGTGAGTGAGCGTTACCTCGGCGAAGGGGTGTTTTGGGAAGTGTTGGTGGGGGATGTGACGGGGCTGGACCAGCTCGCTGGAGACCGCGGGGTGTGGCGAGTCAGAGGGCTTCCCATTGGTGCCTGAGGAAGCGACGGAGAGTGTAGTTGGAGAGGACCGGGCTGTTAATGCCGCTGCTTAATGATTCACAACCGCGCTCCCTTCGTTACCTGTGCGACGTTGCCGGTGTTCTTCAGGTGGTTTTGAAGCAGCTTTGTGGCTCCGTCCTGGAAGGCTTTGGGCAGCGCTGCCAGCAGCATGGTGAACTCGGGAGTGTTGAGCTGAAACAGTGAGATTAACACCAACTGGGCCGCCTGCAGCACACAAAAATACAACCCCCCCCCTCCGTCAGAAAGACTTGGCGTTGGCTTATCCTGTGTTTGTGCGCAAGCAAACAGTGTGGTATATCTGTTGCAACGTTGTGACAATCAACGCGGGGAACAGCGCTTTGAGCTGGCGCTGCTTTGTGCGTCTGCACCTTTCTGACGTCAGAACTTTTGGGTTCAGTCGTCCAGGTGATGATGCGGGAGATGGCGAGCCGAGTCTCGCTGGAATTCACAAAGTCTGGCGCTTCCATCTGTAACGCCAGCGTGTCGATGTACTTCAAAATGGCCACCTTCACCTGAAAGACAAAAATGTGCAAATGCAACAGCTCTTTTCTAAGTCGGCTGGTAACACAGACACCGAACCGCCACTATTCACCTGCAAAAACACAAATCGAGTAATGAGGAAACTAGGAACGCACACACACAGACGCACAAAAAAGTGACCACCAATGTTCACAGGCAACGTGTACAACCGCAGCCGATTGTGCATCTTTTTGCAGGTCTGAAAATCAAACAATCTGACAAATCAGAGAGAGAGGAGCAAACTCCGGTAAAAACAACAACAAATAAACAAAGAAATAGATGACAAAAAACAACCAATAAAAGCAAACATTCATTGCTCCGAAACGCCTCAACAACCGACTACCGTCCTGATCCTCTTCCGTCTCTTTCCATATGCACCGCAAGGACCAGAACCGTCCTGCCAATCACTTAGCAGCCTTGCGCGCACCATATGATTGCTCCCCCCGGAGCGCACTGACCTGGGAGGACTGGCTCCAGGCTGCGGCCTGCTCGTCTAGAGAGCAGGCGTGGCGCCGCGCTCTGAGGGGGAACAATTTTACCCCGGACCCTCCCCCGCCTCGCCCGCAACACGAGCTCCGCACGGGCTTCAGGGAGAAGGAGGAGAATCACCGCGTCAATCAACGGAGAAAGAGAGGAAGACGAGTACAAGGGAGGGTGGGGGAGGAGAAGAGAGGAAGGAGGGCTCAAGGGAAGGAAGGGAGGAGAGGAAGAAGAAAGTACAAAGTTTGGAAAGTAGGCTTGGGTGTTATTTAAATTTTAAATACTGGTCTGAAAAACTGCATCATATAAAGTGACTGTTCAGGCCACATAATGGCAGCCGAGCTGTGATGCCTCGTTAATCGATAAAGATGTTGATGACGCTTCATGCAACAGTTTGTAACATGAATAAGATGCTCAACATTGTTTTAAGATCATTAGAATAAGCGTACGCTTGAAAGAAAGGACATCACATGATCATGAAGTCCCCTTGGGCAGCACCCAATGACGCTAAAATGTTTTTCTAAAAATTCAATTACAAAAACTGCCTGTAGATAAAACAAGCGGATCCGATCCAGTGAAGACACTTTTGCCAAAATCCTGTAATTGACATGTTTCTACAGTTTGACAGCATGTATCGTCATATTGACCCCACCCGCCTTCAGGTCTGTGAGAACAATGTTTTATGACTATCAGGAGTTTCCTCAGGTTCAAGGGGCCATTTATTCTTACTGAATGGAATAATGACTGAAAAAACGACAGCCGACAGTAATAATAAAAAACAACAGGAAGCGATTCCTTCAATGACAGCCGTGACATTTTGCCAGTCAAATGAGCAGCGTGTTAGTCATATAGAGAAACTGTACATTTCTGTAAAGGGGGGTTTAACTTGTGACGCTGTGAATACATTTAGTGGCCTAAACTAGTTGGAAGGCAGGGGAGGGTAAAAAGCGTTGGGGGATAAAAAAATACAGTGTCTAGAATGGAAGGAAGTAGAGAGCGACAGAGGAGTGAGGAGAGCGAGGCAAAGCGTGAGTTGAAGGTAAGTAGTGAGGGGCCAGGTGAACGGATTTGTTGCGAGCAGAAGGACGTCGGAGGAGGAAAGGTTGTAGCAGGAGCAAAAAGCCAGGGGAGAAGCTCGGCCCATCGCTGTCCAATCACAGCCCGGCATTCACGGATTTGGTGAGGTCACATTGGTACAGCAGTTACCATGGTTGCGCAATCCTTACGTTCTCTCTCACACACACACACACACACACACACACACACACACACACACACACACACACACACACACACACACACACACACACACACACAGCTTACCTTGAGGTTGGGCGTCTGTGTCTGGTCCACAGTAAACCTCATGAGAATAGTAAACTGGAGGTCATTGGGGAAAGATTCTCTGTCAGAGGGAGAAAATAAAAACATCTCGTGAGTTTACGAATAAATTACTTTGTTAACACCAAATGAAACAGTCAACTTAAGTTGGCAGTATGTTAAACGATTAGCGCGCCTCCAGCATGGTCATTACCAAGATATTCCCATATGGAGATATTCCAATATGGAGATTACTTTGTAGCCAGAGACTTACATCAGCAAACAGAACTAAATAGTGTCCGTTTTCACAGGTTAACGGACACTTTGGAGCCAATCAGAAATTAGTATTCACCACGACCATGGTACACATAAGCGGAAAATATTATTTTGTTCTGCGTAATCCCGTTGGACGAGAACCTCTCCGTCCTAATGTCAGTGTGTACGGTGATAGTGTGTCACCCACCGGGTGACATCCAGGGCTCTCTGAACTTTGGCCTGTACAGAGCCCAGCAGGTCAGCCCCCATCTTCTTCAGCAGCTGTGTGAGTAGGACGAACAACCAGTCCTGCAGATCCTCCTTATGGACCAGGATGAAATCAACCAGTGTCTCCAGGAACATACTGAAAACCTACACACACACACACACACACACACACACACACACACACACACACACACACACACACACACACACACACACACACACACAGTTTGAGAAACCCTCACAAACTTCATATTTTGTGCGTGCATGCATTTGAGTAGTCCTGCATCATTACAGGGTACAGGAAGGTTACGCTGAAGTACCACGAAGGTGGCGTTCATTCACCTCGCCACGTTAGTGGTTATTCACTCACTAATGCAGCAGCGCTTTCTCATTCCCAATCACCGGTTAAACTCAAATCACCCAAATTGTGAATAATATTAGAAAATGACCAAAACGAGACGGTTAATCACTTAATAAAAATCTGACGTGCGTTGTCGCCATGTTAACATGCCAGCGGAGTTGCGAGCCACTTTATGTGAGGCTGGTTAGTGAGTGAGACTTTCATCCAGATACACAAAGTGTGAGTACAGTGACACTGGTGGACCAAACTTACTCTCTACAGAGAGTTCCAGAGTGAGGTGGCATGTGGGAGAGAGAGAGACACACATCTGTTAGCATCCTGACAAAGAATACCTGCAGGAACCTGCATACGCCATAAACCTCCACCTTCAATCCAACATTTGCAAAAATGGAAATGAGTCGAATCAATAAGGAAAAGAACAGAGAGAGAGAGAGAGACGGACGTTGGAAAAACAGGGAAAATGAGAGGAGACGTGAGGATGGTGTGGGACAGACAGATGGAGGCAGGAGAGGGATCCAGGGTGAGATGCAGTACCTTGAAGGAGGCTGAGCTTATACCGGATTCTGCCGTGCCGTACACTCTGCCGGAATCTCGCTGAAATTCATCAAATCGTCAAACGTCAAAAAGAAAAAAAAACGAGGACGGAGGCGAAGGGAGGAGCTCGCACACCTCACGATATGCGGGAGGCCACACGGCGCTCAGGAAGTGGCGATGTTAAGAGGGGACGAAACGCAGCTGGTTAATTCCAGCGAGGGGAGCGGGCAGCGCCGAATGTGCGTTGATATTCAAGTGCGGCGAAGTGTTGTGCGTGCGGCCTCAGTGTTGTCACTTCAGATTGCAGCGAGGGAGGGCAAATAGAGAGCAGTGAGCGCGGCCAGCGGATCGGACCCGCAGTGACGGAGCAATCCCGCGGCAGGGCGGAGAGGTGTGAGGTCACACGCAAACTCAGGCGTGGGCATGCCGTTAGAAAAACAGTGCATCGCACACTCTGCATGCCCGTGATCATGTTCAAGTGTTACCGCATATCCATGCGAGTGTAGAGCTGAGGATATAGTTTGAGCTGTTTATCTTGTCTTTATCTACACGCATTATTATTATTTATTATTATTATGTTGAAACGTGTGCATGTGTGTGTGATAACAAATAGATGTGTTTGTCTTGGCAGAATCCGGTACAGTGAAGGTTTGGTGGTGATAAACAAAATATTTGGAAACAAAGTATAATAAAAGTGGGTGAATGGTGAATGTATTTGGCGTGATGACGTCACAGAGTACGCGCTGTGCGCCTCATACTTGCGCCGTGTGGACTCATACCTTACTGTGAGGGTCCGCGAACATCCTGGTGAAGATCTCACAAAGCCTCTTCAACTCCACCCGACTGCCGATCAAAGACAAACGCAGACGCGGTCAGAACTACATCCACATCGGATTTACTGTAATAAAACGCAGCGGCCCGCTCTGCGGCTCACCTGAGGGTGCGTTGGTTCTTCAGCAGCGCCTGCAGGCCCAGAAGCCCCTCCTTCCTCTCAGACCAGTTGGCACTGGCACAACGATTCAGCACCTGGCAAAAACCACAGAGACCCGTCAAGACGTGACGTAGGGCCACAGAGGATGTGGCGCTATTATCCCGGCCTCAAAACTTATTAATTAATCTTATTAATCTGTGCCAGGATGAGCAAATGCAGGGCTTAAAATCTTCAGAGTACTTCTATGCACAATATAAAGTTAAATATGTATTGTATGGATTTATAATGTGTAAATCTGAGTGTATTTTTGATGCTTTGTTGCTTAATGACGGCGCCGACCTCAGCTACGTCCTCCGTCTGCCTCATGTAGGTGGGGATGGCTCCTCCGTTCCTGGAGCTGTACGACCTCTCCGAACACGCGCTGGACGCGTCGCTGTTGGCGTCGTCGTCGGAGTACATGCCGTAGTTTTCGTACCGCCGCCGTGCGGGCTTCTTCTGCGGGGTGGAGGACAGAAATCCAGAGGAGATGAAATGAAGCTGAACGGGGAGACGCAGTGATACCAGGCACAGGTAGATAAACACGCACTCACACGCCAGCTTTACACAGCACAAACACGGCCAAACACACACACAAACACACGCGTAAGAGGCAGGAGAAGAAGCTGACCTTGGACCGGATATCTCCCAACAGCTGACCGCGTTAAACAGAGGTAGAACCAGGGGTTAGTTAACACACACACACAAACACACTCCAGGAGATTCAGGCTGCACATAGTGACAGCTTACTGGAGTGTGAGAACTTTATCATTTGTCGTGTGCAGCGCACGTTTCCATACCAGAGCATCTGCGAGAGCCTCTTCTACGTCGGAGCCCGGGTTGAGGACCCTCATGGCACTGACTGAAGACGAGAGACGACTCGACTGGCTGATGCCAAAACCCGACCCTGCAGAGAGCGGAACGCATGGAAAGAGGACAAAGGGGACAAACGTTAGACTAGACTCCCTCGCCACCGCCATTCTCCACACCACCCACTCTCAGAATACACACACACACACACACACACACACACACTACATTTCCCATGAGTCAGCCCTGTAAGTTGATGTGATGACTTGTTAGGTTGACTTAGCAGGTGCTGCTGTGGGAGAAAGTATGATTGACAGAAAACACTGAGGAACGTGTTGGACTTGCAGGAAAGGGGCGGAGCTGAATAAAGAAAAACAAAATGGTAAAACCGGCCGTCATCTGGCAACTTAACGGGCGGAAACATGCGATTCCACTGGAAGGGTCGACATCCTGGAGTAGAATTAAAAAACAATAACAACAAGCTGATGGACAAGGAAGGAAAAACAACATAAATAATATAGGAGAAGATGCTTGGCACCAACGAGAACCAAAGAAAAAAACAAAAAAAACAGGTGAGCGAACATAAGTTAAGGCGACATGGGCGGGTGGGTGAGGTACGGAGAAATCAATGTACTCAGCCTTCACCTGCTGCACCAAACACATCGGGTGTGTGGAGAGCTCCGGTGGAGCGAGAGTAGCTCCGCGTCGCTGCAACCAAGATTAAAAACACACATACAGAGTTTAACACTCGCACCCGCGCGCACAGACACACACACACACATACACAGGACAGAAACACACACACAAGCCTGACACTGATCGAAGTGTGAGAGTGGAAAGAAAGGCTGAAAACGTGATTGTTTTTCTGACTAAAATCCCTAAACTTGTTGGGATTTAGTGGAAATCAGACGCTGGGTGTCAATAAAAGGCCTACGTTTGTTTGTCTCTGAGCTAGCTTTGTGTACAGAGTTCACTCAGAGTTAAACTACCTCCGGGAGGGGGGGGGTATCTGTCTACAACCGGCTACTCACCGAGGGGCGTGAAGGAGCGAACAGGGCTCGTGTCGCGGCTGCTCTCCCTGCTGGCCTCTCTGCTGCAGCCCTGACTCATACTGGGCCGAGGGATACGACTGCCGCGGGCTAATGTCGCCTCGGTTACCGCAGCAGGGGGAAAGATAAGGGGTGGGGGGGGGAGGGAGGAGGGGGGCAGGAAAAGAGCAGCGGAGGGAAGAAAAGGGACGTGAAGAAGACGACAAAAAGAAAAAGAAGAAGACAAACGTGAACAGTGACAAAGGGAGAGAGGGGACGGTACATAAAGACACGAATAAGAGACAGAACAGGCAAACGTGAAAAACTGAGAGAAACGAGAGCACACGAGCAACTGGCTCTCGGGGAGCATCTCAACTGATTTGAAGCCACTTCCTGTTTGGTATTGTCTTGCAATTGTTTTAGCTCCAACAGCCACGTATTACATTCGGGCTTAATTTTTAGAACTTTGGCCACAGTTGGCCGGTGCACAGCTTAAACGGTGAACTGGGTTTGTAGACGGTTGCAGATTCATCTTAGTGATGATTTACCAGTCGTCTCAGTTCCAGTTGAGATGCACCTGACAGAAGCACCGGACTGCTGCACTCACATTCAAAGTGGAACAAACAAAGTGTGACGACCCCCATGCACTCGCAGATCGCACACACAAAACACACAGGACAGAAAAGGGAGTGATTTGAGATGAATCAAAGGGGATCGAGGGGAGGATCTGCTTTTTCATCCACTTTTATCACAATCGACTTTCCCGTTGGTCAGCAGCAGCATGAACCCAGCCAATCAGGGTTAATCACAGCCTGCTAGGGGGGCGGGTTACAAAGCCCTAATGCAGCACGGCTGGTCCCGCCGGAAGGCTCATCTTTCACTCACTGACAACAGGTTAGTGAAGACGGGAAGGACCTGCTGATCATGAGCACCCATCACCAAAACAGCACAGCCATAGAATCAGAGGCAGGTTAGCGAGGTTGGCTATGAGAGTCCCGACGGAGGGACTGGGATCGGGAGATTTGTAGTGACGGATGGAGATAAAGAATGAGGGATGGGTTTAAGGGGATGATGAGAATCTTCAGGTTAGGAGATGGACAGTTGGGTGGTCTGGTCGAGGTCGGAGCCTTACCTCCTCTGCTTGCACCGTTGTAGATGGAACTAATGCTGGAAGGAGCTACAGGACAGAAGCACCAGGGACGGAAAGATAAGAGGACAGGGAGGGAGCAGGAGGGCAGAGAAAAGAGTTGAGATCCAAGGACACACGGACGATTACGTGCGCGCTGTTCCTACGGGCAGCTAAGTGTCAAAAAGCTGCGTTTTTTTGTTTTTTTCCCCCGTGTAACCAAACCATCACATCTGAGCTGTTGTGCAAAAGCAGATGCAGAAAAAAACAATTATCAAACGGACACCAACAGTAACTGTTTGCTTACCAACGGACAGGCGGGTGGGTGACGAGTCCCTGGAGCAGCCCTGGCTGCGGGGGATACGGCTGCGTCGGTTTTTGTCCCCAGTGGACCCGGCCAGCACGCGGTGGGCCCCCGAGCTCAGGGTGCTCAGGGCCGTGCTTGTCAGAACGCGACCCGGGGAGCCACTGCGACTGCCAGCTTCAGGGGGGACGCAGAGGGACAGAAGGGGACAAAACATGACAGGAATGTAACTAAGATGTTGGAACGAGGTCCGGTGGGGCTCGGCGAGTTGAAAACCAAACCGAGAGGGAAATAAAATAAATGAATCTGTCATATCCAAATATGTATACACATTACAAGAAAAATAAAATGCATTCAATTTGAATTATAAAAGTGATATTTCAACAAAATTATGATTTACAGACAGCTCTACCGACATAACATTTGACGTCCCCACTTCATTAAAGCTCACGGTGCGTCTGATTCTACGGTGTCTGCTCTCGACCTGAGGACTAAACCACGGAAGAGAAGCTGCTCCGCGGCGCTGAGCGTGAAGTGTGTGAATCAGGCTTTTGGGGAACAAGCTTCAGCACACGGAGCGGAGCTCTTAACGGATGAAAATGAGCACGCGGATCAGATTCTCTGACTGACACACAAACACACAAACTCAACACGTAAATAAAGGATTCTATGTACTAGTATCCAGGGACACAGAGCTAAATAAACATCTAATCGCTATTTGCTAAATAGAGTTTGTTCTATTATCTCGATTACCACGTGACGTAACAGATCTACAGTAGCTGATAAGACATTTAGTAGTTAACGGTTTGTTCTATAATTGCCAATTTTATATAAAATACTGATGAAATGGAAACCAAATAAGGATCAGATTTATTCATTTGGGATCTTAAAATTGTTTTTGGGGAAACTGAATTCCAGTTGGGTGAGATCTTTTTTTAAGCCATTAAAAGACTGGCCTCTTGATCTTCAGACGACATCGTAGGTGCACATTAGAGGTCAGGAGGCCGACGCTTCCAAGGCAGCGTGCTTAGCATGATCATAGAACAGCCACGTTAACAGTCTGTGACCGGCAATCCCAGCGTGTCAGAGGGGGGGGGCAGCTCTGGGTGCATGTGGAGGAGGGGGAAGTCGGGGCAACAGAGGAAGGGCAGTAAAGATTTTTAAAAGAAGCGGAATCTTACCACCGACGGGGGTAGCAGACTGAGATCCTGAGCCATTAAGCCCATTGGTAGAGAGGAGGAGGGGGGTGGGGGGGGAAGCAGATTAAACCAGATGAATTATGGGTATTAGCGCAAAAAAAGCGTCATGGGAGTTAGAACACAGAGAACGATGGGAGCGCATCCTGGTGTCCCACATCAAGAATGAAGGCAAAGCTGAAGCTCTCAACTTATTTAAGACTGAAAGAAAACACTCAAACACACACTGAACGAGCTGCAGGTGACAGCCTGGGAAAAGCAATGCATGTTGGGACAGCTGGTTTATGTATCAAACAAGTATCAAGACCGTCCACAATGAGGAAAAGGAAATGCCTCAAAGGAAAATACGCTGGATGGATGTGCACAGACTATCACACACAGGCAGGACGCCTCCAATCAGCTGCCGTCTCGTCTGATTGAGATAAACGTTTCCCATCAACGGCATCGAGTGTCAGCAGGGTTGTTTTTTTATGCACAAGAAATGCCGGATAACCGGGAGAGTAAAGAAGGAAAAAGTCCTTTCCCATATATTTGACTTATTCTGTCGCTCTTCAAACCAGATGTTTGCTTGAAAAGTGGAAAGATTAATCAAGATTGTTTGATGAGTATATATTTTTTCTGTCAAGGTTTAAGGAAGTGTGTTTTCACTGTAGTCGTAGTAGTGGTAACGTATAAACTGTTATGCATATTTTTAAAACAATATCATATTTGCCCAAATTCTTATTGGTTTTGTGTATTATTTATCTACCTAAACGTGTATAAAGATAAAGCATCACAACGGAAGAGGCAGAGCGTCTCCAACCAGATGTCACGTTTCCATCACCGCCGCACGGAGACGGAGCCGATGACCACGAGCGAGTTTCTGCAGCGACATTATCTAGAATTGAGATTTCGGCTTTGAACCCTCAGTCAACCTCCTTCAATCCGCTCTCTAAATGTCCAGTGGAGCCCAGTGGATTGTGTTCCTTCATGTCTGTTGAAGGATTTCTAATAACCAACATGACAGCCAGAGGAAACAAAGTGTCCACCCCACCATACTCAGTGATGAGACACAGCATGCACAGAAAAACACACATAGAAACACACACTCCTCTTCACACACTCCGACTCAAACAGAATACCTGGTGTGCAATCGGACTCGTCGGAACCTGAAGGCACAAAAACATTTTAAAGAGCTTATTGTCACCGTGAGGGCAACAAATAAGTCTGCAGCGAGAGCCTAAGTCACTACAAACACGTGGACTCTGATCGTTCCGGTCACAGCTGGCTTCAGGTCATGCAGTGTGTCGGTGGGACGGGGTACATACGTTGGGACTGGGACACCATCTTGGCGCGGCTCCGCCCTCGCGAGTCCACCTGGGCTGGACATGGTGCTGGCAGCGGACAAGGGCTGCTTAGTGCGTACACGACCTGTATGACGCGGAGGGAAAAAGACTGTTTGAATATGCACACATAATAAAAATTTAAAAAAACACACAACCCCAGTGCGACACCTCCTACACATCTAGTCACATCTAGTTGCAGCTGAAGCCCAGAACTTAAGACGGACGACAGCTAAGGAAAAGCCACCGGTGGCGGAAGCTGCAGATGGTGCGTCGGATCCTAAACTAAACACTCAGTCACACAACATGCACGCGACAGGGATGCTTCAGTGGATCAGCAAGATATCACTCGCCACTCTATCTCAGAACGGTTAGGGCAGATTTGAGACTGTAGAATACTGTTTTGATCAATTTAGTAATGAATGTCAATATTAACGGCAGCATTTTTTTTTACAGTAGTCATCTCATCCAAATAAAAGCTTTAAAGAAAATTGGTAAAATGTGCAACAACTTCTTCTGCAGTTCATGAATACCATCCACTTAAAGCTGCAATTTATGTTTTTGTGAAACTATTCTATCAAAATACATGTTATTCAGCTCTATCAATCCTGGATGTGTGACAGGACATTTCAATGTGTGAAGTTTTAAAATGAGGGAGGCGCTATAAGAATTGTAGATGTCAATACACCTCAACAAAATGTTCGCTTTCCCGACTAGAACATCCCTAAACACACACACACACACACACACCTAACTGCAATCTTACCATTGTCTGACCTGGTTCCTACAGACAGACAAAGAAGGAGCAGGTTGTAAAATGTACACTTCACCTGCACATTTCATACGCTTTCATACTGTAAATTTCTGCATTTCTGCATGCGTAAACATTAAATACATAGTGTTCTTCCTGTACTTTGCACATTACTCTGCGGTTCTGAATAATTTTTTTTCCTGAACTAATTTCTAATCTCTAAATCATAGAACGATATCCCAATAAAGCCTCAATAACCAAATGTTAAAGTTTAATAGAAGCGTTGGTCAGATTTTTTCTGTAAGTAACAAGATTAAACTAGAGCAAAGCAGAAGATGAGCTGAGATGTGTAATTAATTGGATTCATGATGCGATGAGAAGGCAGGTGAGACAAATGAGGGTTGAATGTACGTTTGACAGCAGGGGGCGCTGTGGCCACACACTGCAACAAAAGCTGATGCGATTTGTTGGACTATAATCAAGTGAGGGAAAAGAAGAGGAAATTAAAGAAAAGTATGAGTAGCTTGTTGCTGGTGAAGCAGAGTGAGATGATCTTACCATCCGTTTTATCAGAGGCATCATCTTTAGTGGCAGAGAGAGAGACAGAGGAGGAGAGAGGGGGAGGAAAGGCAAGAAACAAATGGAAACAAAAAAAAACAAAGGATTGATACAAATGACCATTGAAAGTAAAGAGACACAAAAGGAAGACGGAAAAGGGTCAAATGACGTTCAAAACAGAAAGTAAGATGAGACACAGAATAATGACAAAGTATTCAGAATGAAAGACAGGAAAAGAGGGAAGAGAAGAGAGGAGCACAGTCTGTATTAGTTACAGAGCATCTGGTCAAAAGGGAGCAGATGCAGTGGTCAACGTCGAAACAGGAGAGGACGGTATTCACCGACAGAACATGCACACAGACAATGTGCACGGCAACACGTGTACGGGACACATCAACGGGCAATGAGGAGGCAGCAGGAGAGGGGAGGAGAGGAGAGGCCGGTCCGAGCACTGGAGCGTGTGAGTGTGTCTATCCGATCCCTCTGTGGAGGGAGGATAACTCGGAAGCTTTGGAAGCACCGCATCTGAGCTGATTTGAGAGCGACTCCTCAGACTCTTGAGTCACGTCTGACCAGACTGCCCGGACCCTTACCCAGTGAGGAGCAGGAGCCGGGGGGCAGGCGCCCCGTTGCCCTGGTCTGTCCGACTTGCCGGTGCTTAGCGACTGCCGCCGCGTTAACGTCCACGTCGCTACGGGATCGCTGCAGCGAGACTGACGACGTCACGCCCTTTGAACCCGCGGGGACTGATAGGACAGGTGGAGGAGGAGGAGGAGGAGGGATGGGAGGTGATGAGGGTATAGATACATCACAGACACATGCAGGCAGCACACGATATCAAACACCGTACAGAAGTACACAAACAGCCAGACACATTTACGCGCGAGTGTGTGCGTACAGGTGTGTCGAAACATAAAAACAACGTGACAGGATGTTGCTGTACGGACACGGGCAGAATGGGAATGATGGGAGACGGCTCTGTGGGAGCTGCTGTTTGCCACAGTGTGTGTGTGGGTATGTTTCCACAGGAGCAAGTGAGCATGAGGTTGTACGTATTGGAGAGAGGTTGCACGCGGTGTGTGTGCGTGTGTGTGTGTGTGTGTTACTGAGTGTGTGTGACTCACCTCGCCCCGGAGCTGCTGACCATTTAGAAGTCAGGGGCCGACTGACCGAGGGGAGAGGAAAGGAGGTCAGTCCACAGCGACACACACACTAAAAATCACCGTGGCTCACACATCCTTTTCTTTTTCTCACGGCTCAGTTATGAGGTACAGTATAAATATTATATAATAAGTAATATAATTTGCTTTTGACTGCAATAAATACACAACGCAAGTAGGAGTTTGCAAAGCCAAACTGGGTGTTTCGGAATATGTGACGTAATTCAACTAAGTATTGATGTTTTTCTTTCACATTAAAGTAATCAATCTGCACGGCAGCAGTTTAACAATATTTGGTTATTAACGGTGTGCCTAACAGAGGTCAGCTGTGCAAGTTTTCCTGTGTGTCCCCTGACACACTGTGCTCCACACAGATTGGATTATTCTAATCAATAATCCAGATGACTATATCATTATTTAACAAGATTTATCTTGTAAAGAAAACTCAAGATAGAACATTATTCTGTAAATGTCAATCAGACTTCAAACTCAAGTCCCACAATGAGAACATTTCACTATAAATACATTTCATTTGGTGGGAAAGCAAGTCTTTTTTTAGTTTGTATCTAAACTCAACTTGTTTTGGCATTAAAATGACAAAGGCAAAATAACCGATTCAGAAATTCTTTGTCCAACTTCTGCAAAGCTTGGACAATGGTGGATGAAGTTACTGGGAATTTTTCTCCGCCGTAGAATTTGATTTTCTGCCTGATGCATGCAGCAGAAAGGTTGACAATATGAGCGACCGGAGGAGAAAAGGGAAAACATTTGAGGAGATTTGAATGAGCCGCAGTAGATCGAAATAGAAACATTTCTTAAACTGTCTCTGGCCCAAATTACATCAATGCTCATTTTCAATAGTCAGAGGCAGTCGCAAGTAAAACCTGGACTACTGAGGTCATATTATAGCCGAGCGTTGATTACTTGAGGCTCTCTTGAGAGGAGGACGAGGAGCGGTCACTCTGGGGAAGAGAGGCCACGCTGCCGGAGCTCTTCAGGCAGGACTGAAGGGTTTTCTGGTACGATGGCTCCAAGGAGTTGTAGAGAGCGTCTGCCTCCACTGGGAAGTGGTTCCTCAGGCCCCAATAGGCCCTGAGAGGGGCAGAGAGCAAAGCAAAGGTTAGATGATGAAGATGATCAGGCAAAAGAGAGGAATCAAGGTATTCAGAAAAGAGAATTGAGGGTGGTCAGATATTCAAAACAACTCGTCTTTCATGTTGCGCGTCTTACTTGCGAGCCTCCACTCTGGCCTCTGAGTCCGCATCTCGGATTCCCTTCTTGATGCTCTCAACCAAAACTGCCGTGTGCCTGCAAGGAAGGAAGAAAGGAAGGAAGGTGAATTAAGTAACAGCGAGAAAGAAAAGCCTGTTTGAAAGGTTGTGAGAATCAGCCCTCACCTCTCCAGAGAGTGGGTTTGCCATTCTTGTAGCAAAAGGTCCAGGAAATCATAACAGCGCCTGGAGATGACATTTTCTTTATCATTCTCATGACCACAACAAACATTAAAGATATTTTTTAAATGACCTTCAAAGCCGTTCATCATTTGAGACCTGCTCAATAACAAACAAGGCCCTTCGGCACTGTCTCGACCTCACCTTCTAACAGCCACGGACTTGCACGTGCAGTTGCTGGTGATCAGGGGGATGAGTCTGGGGACGTGGGTATGCTGCAGTCGCGACGAGGCAGAGTGACAGGAGGCGATTAAAGTGGGAATAATAATCCAATGATCAGACGACACCATCAACACCGACTAGAAATAGGTTTGTTCTGCAAAAGAAAAGTAGAAAACTCACCCGTATAATGATGCGAATGGCCAGCATCCCGGAGGTGGCCATGACTTTGGCGCAGTTAGGGATCAGGTTGAACAGGACGGGAACGATGGCTTCCGCTCCGTGGTCAAATTTGTTCCCGAGCACCGACGAAAGGAAGCTACAAAGACACACGACGGCCATCAGATGTTTTAGATGTTTATCGGCAAGGCCCAGTGATGACCAACAAACAATCAATCAATTAGGTTCAACTACGGCGCGAAGAAAATGAGTGAAAGCTTCTGGATTCTAGAGGTGCTCGTGATCTTGGATCTTGTCCGTCGGCGACACTCACGCCACGGTGATGCAGGCCTCTCGGACCACTTGGGAGCGCAGGTCTTTGGCGGACAGCTTGAAGGCCCCGTCCAGCAGCCGCAGATGCTGGTAGAAGCAGTCGTAGCTGGTCGCGCCCGCCACGAGCAGCGAGCGGACTTTCTTCATCTGCGACGATGAGAGCGAGACAGGAAACAATCATCATCGGTGTCAAGAGAAGGTAATTTTGTATTAGCACTAGGTGAAAAAAATACAAGGGTTAAAAAGAAAAAAGGTGAAAATACTGACAGCGCTGGCTCTCTGGTCCCAGTCGTGCTTGTCGTCAGAGCATATTTCGCGGATCTTATTCAAGTTGTCTTCGAGGTCCCTCGCAGAGTAAATCTGCAGCGAGGGGAGGAAGGAGAGGAGCGGACACATGAAGCACCGATGAGAGTCTCAGCCTAGTCTGGCCTGGTTTGTTGACGCGGCTGCACGTCGCCTACCTGCACAGGGGGAACGTCTGTGAAGGCTTTGATGAAGTCCTCTTCGTCAACTCCCCCGGCGCTCTCCTTGGACACTAGAAAACCAGGGCAGGGTCCGTTAATAAGCACGTCCGTGTGTGTTTGTGAATTTTCACGTGACGGCATGTCGGATCTCTGTTCCGGTTGGTCTTGAGATTCTGGTTTGATTTCAGAAAATCCCCCAGCACGTTTCCAACTACACACACCCACACATTTAATCGAGTGGGAGCTGCCTGTGTATCTAATGGTGGAGAACCATTGGTGGAGTCAATGCAAAAGGAATACGTCCTTTCCTTCTCCCCCCGCCGGTTGGTTCAAATATCAGGCTGATCCACATAGATTGGTCATCTCAAAGCTCCACACGTACAGTACACGACCCCTCCTTTTATTGCAAAGTATTATTTTACACAGGAAATTGTTCTCTGCCTTTAATCTCAGCAGTGTGCTGCCGTAAAGGCGCCCAGGGAGCAGTTAGGGGTCTTGCTCAGGGACACTTCGACACGGGACATGGAGCAGCCGGGACTCGAACCGCCAAACCAGTGGTTCCCGGTGCACCGGTTCTACACCAACATGTTAACATGACCGTTAACCAGCGGTCAGAAAAAAATACGTGTCCTGCTGTGATGGAAAACTGCTGAAGTCGGCACAGTCAGGTTTCTGCCACTCTTTGGTTAAATTGAAATATCCGTCTTGCCTGTCTCAGGCTTCCTGTCAGTGTGTTTCGGCGTGCTGCCATTTTGATGCAGATACAGACGAACAGGCCTCTAGGCTTCACCACGGGGGAAAGTAGCCCGACAAACAGTGAAAGCTAGACAGACTCCGTCCTGAACACGGAAAAGAAAAGCTAGCTTAGAAACAGCACGACTGAATCGGAATCCTCGTCATGTGTGGAATCACATATTTTCATTTTCATCACATATTGGGTTCAGAATCATGCATCTGATCAATGCTTAAGACCCGATATTCAGCGTAAGCAAAAAAATACCCAGCATACACTGGACCTCAGCATCTCACAGCAGCCTCACGATCAATCAGACTGATCCAAGTGACAAGCGATCCCACTCTTGTTTCCGACGAACAGAGCAACAACGTACCCGCGGGCAGACTGCTTGTGTGAGTGCACGTATTGACAACATTGCTGACAGATCCATCAGCACGGCAGGAGAAAATTGGCCGCATGTTCGCGGGAACATAGTTGTCTTCCAATACAGAGGAAAAGAAAAATCAATACGCACAAAGACGCCGCGGAGCGCCGCGGTGCGCCCACGTGCCGCAGGAAGAAGACTCAAGGACGCAGAGACAGTCTCACTGCGACGTCCTCTAATGTAAGATGATGTCAGAGAACCGTCGTACAGAAGGCCGCGCCCACATCCTGGAGGAAATGTCGCCTGCTCGACTGCTGGTTAGCTGGGCACGTTCTGTTTATCTCTTATATTTTAGGGAACAGACGCCTGGGCTGAAGATCACTTCACGCAGTCTTCTTTTCAAAGACATTCATTGTTTGTGTGTAAATGTGGGAAGTTAAATACCGAGCTTGCCGCCGGTGGCGCTGGGCCTGCGCGCAGCAGAGGACTCCGCCGGCTTCTTGGGAACTTTTGGGACCTTGAAGGCAGCCTGGGCCGAGAAAGAGCGATTCCCGTCCACACTGTCGTCATCTTCGAAGCTACGATCTGGATGGAGAGGACAGAGAGGAGAGTGTTAACATCCGCCCTGCAGGCAAGGAAAAGCATGAAAAGGAAAGTCCAGACGCTGGACTGTGCTCATTATCATAAAGAACAAGGATTTCATTCATTCAGTACCTGCTTGGGTGTCACTAATAAAAAAAAAAAAAAAAAAGATAACTGACGATTATTCTACTCTCCCAATTAGTACGTTGACATCTGGGTTCTAAAATATTAAATAAATACATGTAAATTATTCAAACCGCAGAAACCTTCTGAAATACTTTCAAAGCAGCTTGGATTGTATTCCTCCTTCTCTATACTGAGCATTAAAAGCTTGTGTTCATTCAAAGACACCGGATGCTAGAAAAGTACGGGGAAGAAGCAAAGGACGGAGCAGGTTGCTTAGTCAGGAATCACTGGATCAATACTAATTATATCTGGCTAGAAGGGAAAGGCTAGCACACGTACACACACGATCGATCACTTATTAGACCCCAGAAACACAGACGACAATCCAGATGCCCCCCCCAAGCAAGCGGTGACTTGCAGAACTCTCCACGGCCCAAAAGAACCCATCAATCTGCATGCTATTGGAGATGGAGCTCGCTCCAAAGCTAGTCTTGACTCTCGGGACACGCTTGCAGCCGAGATGCAACGTTTTGAACGCGTGACTACGAGCAGAAACCCCTCGAGGGAGACGCACCGCTCGACCCTGTGGAGAGGCAACGGCTGGCAGATGAATGCAAGCGCGCCCCGGTCGCTGTGACAACCAGCCATCTGGAGAATGCGCCAAAGCCACCACCCCACACCTTGAATCGTACATCAAACCTACCAACACACACACACCGCCTGTCAATTTAGTTTGCATGTCGACTGTGTGTGTGTGTGTGTGCGCACACAAGCTATTCGTTCAGTTATTGCAGAGGCTTTTTGTCGAGAACAGTAAATGTAAAGCAGGCATTGAAAGAAGCACATACATCCTTTGCCATGGAAGAATATTTACCACACGCACACGGCATAACACACCCAAATCCCTCACAGCACTCACAGTCACAGATCCGCTGGCAGATTAGTCGTCTCATGCTTCTGGGAGGGCGTGGTATTTGGGTCCCTCCTCTTCTCCCAGCCGTACCCCAAGACACATCCACACACCTCACACACACCTCATGGCTAGGCTAAAGCCACACACACACACGCACACACCGCTATCCAAAACCCCCCACACCCATTCAAGTGCCGGCATTTTCTCTCACTTCCATCCCTTGGTCCCTCTCCCACTCCCTCTCAACCCATCTCTCCTCCTTCCATCAGCAGCCTCACAGCCAATCACACTAGAGATGACATCATTGTGTTGCAGCCAGTGCGGAGGCAGGAATATAAGTGTGTGTAATGAGAATTGAAGGGACACACACACACACAAGGAATAATAACAGAGCTTCTTGGTGTCCCTGCCAAACCAGCAACCTAAACTCATTACACTCTCTCAAACACACTGTTTTTGGGTACAGTATTTAGTTATTAACAACCTCTTAACACACTTTTTAATGTTGCTACATTTAACTGCGATAATCCACTTACACAACAGAACAAAGGATGATGAGCAACGATCAAAAGGAGGTTGTGTGGGGTGTGTGAAGGAAGAGGGTAGGGAGGGGGGGGCTACCACACCCCTCCATCTGAGGCCTCGACCCTCCCACTCACACCCAACAACAAACACACCAAACACAGTGCAATCACATTCAAATGAAATAACTACTGCGGTTCTAGTTCCAACTTCCAGCAGTGTAGGAAGCACATACGGTTGAATACAGATGAACTGCGGGAGAATATAAACCCCATCCTAAAGCAAACAACATCAGCAGAAATGTGATATTACTCGGCCATACTATTGTTGCAGCCATCTTTAGGGGATTTTTTGCATTGGTCTGGTTCAGAGAAATATAAATATTGTCAGGTGACTGACTAGTCCAGCTGCAGCCTTGAAATATGTGTGATGTCGATAAAAAGGGTCACATTGCCTACTAAACTGTTTAACCATTACGGATGGTAATCAGGGTCAAAGTGTAATATAAGAACCTGCTTTGCATAATAAGCACCATTTTGAGGCAGGTTGTCAGATACTTCAAACATGCTGAAGAAAATACTCATGTGTACGGGCACATGGGAGTACAAAGACGCTGATATGACTGATGCATTCAGTGTCAAATACCAGTTTAGTGCATTAATTTGCTTTCTAACAAATCCCACGAGCCCATTAGCAATGCTCGGTCATGCGTCTCTATTTCATATCACTGTTTGCAGGATTAGCATCTCCCTTCTTTTGTCTGTAGTCAGACCCCATGGGAGTAAATGCCACTGGGTGAAGGGCAGGCCAAAGATACTGGAGGGGGGAGTGATGGGGAAGGAGGGAGAGGAAGAGAGCGAGAAAGAGGGACAGACAGAGAGCAGACTGCACATATGCTGTTGCCATGGCAACCTGTGCAGAAGAGCTTTTTGAAATGAACAGACCAGCGAACAGGCATAAAATAGACACATATTCAATTTAGTTTGGTTAACATTTGTATTTACTGTTTATTAACTGAATGGGTTAGTTTATTTTAAAAAACAGGATGCTGGAAATGCTCTTCAAGTCCCATTAGTGTCTCCCAGGATACACCACGTTACACAATAATATGCCACAACAAATAAACAAGGCTGTACACAGAGACACACAAAGCGCAGTGAGAGAATTCAGGTCCATCGTGTACCAGGCAGCGTTGCCATGGAAACTATGAGATTTCCTCCTCTCGTGTATCCGACTGCTTTAAATATACAGATCTGATAGTTGTCCAGAAACTATAAATACGTTTTCAAATTACAAGATGACAACAAATACGCAACAAATCCAATCAAAACCAATCATTCATTTGTGTGTAAAACATCCCACACATTGTTCTTCTCAGCCAAAAACAACAATATAATCGACAGGTAGTAGGAAATATGGGCAGAGCAGCAAAACAAATCTATTTTTGTTCCGTTTCTTGGCCCCTCTTACTTATAAGGAAAGAGGAACACTGACTGATAAATGTAAGGCAATAACCGATCTGTAACTACTAACACACAAGCATTCTGTTGTTACCACACGGGGGCAGCATCAACCTCGTTCCAACCACATTATTCAACCAATAAAAAACAACAACAACAACAACAACCTCAAAATACAGAGGGTCTCACTATCATAGACAAGAATCTCCAATCTGCCACAAACATACCGTAATCTGCTCTGAAACCTGAACATAAATACATACGTACTGAACTACTGGCTACACTGAAATCCAGGCCAAAGCCAAGAAAGCAGCATCTTAAAATACTGCATACCAAAAACAGTTGACCTTTAATACGATGCACATATATAAATCCGTTCTTTTGCTTTCTCAATGGCGACACACGTGTTGATGTGTGACGTGAGGTTCACAAGGTGAAGTGCAAGACTGCATTTGAAGACATGGGCCAAAGGTCCACACAGCACTTTGGTTAGTATAAACATTATTATTAAGCATCAGCAAAAGAAATACAGTGAAGAGATTTTAAGATCTGCCGGAGTGCTGCAGACAAAACGGAGCGTTCAAACCGCGGTTGGAAAAAACATGACTGCGACTAAGAGCATATCTTCTGAGCAATCAGATATACTGCAATTGTGATGATCTGCTGTAATCTGCAGGGTAACTGGCAGCGTGACATTTCCCCACTAAGAACCACGAGGCCGGGTGCAGAGTCCCATTCACAGAGCGATACGAGAACGCGTTGAGTGAGCGGCCCGGCGAGGCAAAGTACCCTGGAAGTAAAGTAGGGGAAGAGAACTAACAGCAAATTATTTAAACAGCATTTGTACACAAATTATTCAGTCCAAACGCCTTTTGATCCACACAAGCTGCTTGTATTATGATCTGTTTTTATCTGTTCAGTGGCAATAAATGAGGAAATGGGGAGAAACGAGTAAAGAGAGCGTGAGGACACCAAGTTGAGGCCGGGATTTTCTACGTGGAGATGGACTGCTGAATGTTGGGCCCAGCTCAGAGGGAATTAGCTTCTTATGTGAAAATAACAACACAGGCACGCACGCATAACTTGAGCCCCGATTTCAGGAAGACAGGAAGAGGGATGAAGGATAATATTCCAAGGAAAGCTTTGCCATGGCAACCAGCCTAGCCTGGAAACGGGGTCACGGATTCCTTTGCAGAGCCGGAGATGCACTGAAGCAGAAGGAGCATGTCTGCAAGAGAGAGTGTGTGTGTGTGTGTGTGTGTGTGTGTGTGTGTGTGTGTGTGTGTGTGAGAGAGAGAGAGTCCTTGTCAACACTGAGCTATGCAAGCAATGAAAGCTGCTACTGATGGTCAGTTTTGCAAGTGCGTGGGCATTATCTCAGACAGGACCGAAGGAAGGCACCAACATACTTTACCTTCTTACAAGAATAGGAGTCTTAGAAGTTGTTATATATATATAGATGTTATTTATTCTATTTAGGTTTCTGGTGTTTCAATGTTGAATTGTTTTCGGTCTGAAAGAAACGTTTTTTTATGTACCATGAAATAGATGGTGTACTACTACCGGATAAGATAAAAAGCAACTACTATTAGAAGGCAACTGCAAATGTTATACCCGTTGGTCCGTATTTCATGATGATGATGATATTAAGCAACTGAAAGTCTCGGAGGAGTCATTTGCAAAAACGCCGTGGAGAAGAGACACAGACTTCTCTGAGACGCGTTAATCGCGCTTCATCTATATCTAACACCCATCCAAGAAAAGAATGCCTCGTTGTGCCTTCACACTGATGGATAAGTTTACATTGAATGTGGGAAAGCCACTATTCAACAGAGGGAGCTATAATGAACTTTGTCTTAATTGTCTGTCCACTGACAGTCAGAGATAGAAGCAGGAAGGAAGGCGCAGAACAACACACACTTCCCTTAATATCACTGAAAATAGAAATAGAAAGTGAGAGAAAAGTCAGGCTACTTCACTAGTATTATATAGCAATAAAGAAACGGATACAAACACAACAAAACATATCCAGACAAACGCACGTGCACACGTACAGACACGCACACACGCAAACGTAGACTACAACTGATCAAGTGCACTCAGGGTGAAAGCGTTTGGACTTTAAGCTGATTTCAATGTAAAACCATAGGCTGACGAGTTTTTGTCTGAGTGCCAACATTCATAGTCGGATAAGATTACACACACACACACACACACACGCCATCATCTCCAACTGCCATGGTTGCAGCGTGTTATGGACAGAGGTCTGCGGTGGTCTTTGTGTGGCCGCGCTCTCTCCTTCCGGCCGTCCCCTTTGTTTTCTCCTCTATCTCCTTTTCCCTCATTTGTTCAATCTCTCTGTCTGTCATGATGAATCAGGGCGAGGCGGCGATCGGCACAGCCACTCGCCTACTGCGAGGGATCTCTTGTCAGTTTCCTCCCTCCTTCCTTTGCCCTTCATGCAAGGGGCTTATTTATGGAGTAAACACAGGCGTGGAGAAATAGAAAACTGAGGCAGTTAGTCGAGTCAAAAGAGCCATTCATTATCAAAATGCTTGCAGATAACTTCTCTGTTTATCCTTCTGGACTGTTGGTCGGTCAAACTGAGTCACGTGAAGAGGAAACGTTTTTGACCTTTCTCTCCATCGATAATTGAAAAACGCAATAAATTGCGGCCCTCCCCGTGCGACTAGAAGCTTAAAGTGCACCCGAGTTGGTGGCCGTCAGGCACGCGCCCAAGTTTGCCCCCCCGGCGCATCTCTCGGTTACTCAGGGATTTTTGGATATGCGATCAACACATGACGTGAGATTAGGGAGAATTACAGGATTTAGCCAAAGACGCAGTGTGGCTGTGGACGGTTTTCTGGTCTGTTTCAGAGGCCGGGACGTCTCCGGTGTCAAGGATCACTTCATGTTTTATTGACCGTCTGCACCAAATCTTTTCCCTTTGTAGCAATGTCAACACCACTTATATTCCTCATTATACTAAATGTAAAGTTACTTCACTCAGATGAAAGAGTGACACAATTACAAATGTGGTGTTCTGTAACTTATAAATAACAAGAGGTGCATTTATTTATGTGTGTCAAGATTTTCCTTTGAATAAAGTACTGAGATGCTGCAGAGAAGTACCTACGCAGCATATATTACAGACTTTGGTACAGATCATGACAAAAATCACAATTTAAAAAAATATATTTTTCCAGTGAAATGAGAGATCATTATTCCCTCTGATAACACAAATGCTACGTCAGTCAAAACGATCACAAGGCACGTCCTCCGCCTCTCTGCCACCACCAGAGACAACATCATGGCAACTACACGCCCCGAGTCCCATCTCCACCCCTATCACCCCACCCTATCACCCTATCCCCCCAGAGCAAAAGGGCTGCACCAAGCAAACGGCCACCGACCGCTGCTGTCGTTGTCAGACGCATGGAGGCTGTGGCGCTCGCAGCCAATAACACCAACAACAAACATAGTTCTTACCCTGCAGAGGAAAAACTATCTTCTTTAATTTACTGGTGCAAATTTCAGTGCTCTCATCAAAAGGGATTCAGACAGCAAAATGACAATTTCAAAAGGTCGACTGTACCAAGTGACGAGAAGACGTCAATGTCACAATTTTCAATGGTCAAACAATGCTAGTCAAGGCTTCAGGAGAACCAGAGAGAGAGACACACACACACACACACACACACACACAAACCGATAAACAGACAGTAGCCTTCAGCTGAAGTCGGGCTTAGCACACCCAAAATCACAGGCAAATACAAACAGATTAAAGCATTAATCCTGTTAGGTCCTCTTACAGAAACTACAAAACCCTATGCAGATAGAGACACGCACAAGCACCCACCCGAACACACCCAGCACCCGACAACAGTAAAACCATCTGGACAACATATTCAAACTCCGTGGGATTCAGAGGCCACTGTGGCAAAATGAAAGAGATGGCACTGACCGTGACTCGGGCTGAGAGCCATGTTGCCTGAATTCAAGGCTTCATCAAAGCGGGCGAATAACGTCTGTAACCTGGAGAGAGAAGAAGAAATGTTAGAAGCGTACACAACAAAGCTAGTGCAATACATATGAGAGCAGAATGAGATTCATCACAATGAGACTGAATTAGGAAATATACACTCAATTGTCTTCATGGAAAGGATCGTGACAACGAAGATGGACACACACGCACGTCTGCACACGCAGGTTAACCTAGAGACAGCCTGCGAGCATCCCGAGCAACATGTGGACAGCCTCCCTGTCTGTCTGCAGGTGGGTGTGTCCCTCATGCCAGCCACACGCATGAAGCTACAGCAGCAAAGCACTGGAGTCCTCCTTGCACAATGCTCAGCACCAAGCGCACAAGAACCCACGGAATCACACGGCAGGCATGCGACGCACAACACCGTCTGCATCCCAACGACACAAAGATCGAGTCCAGATCAAATCTTTGCCTCAGACACCTCCGGCACACGGAGCCGTGTATACACACACTGGCTACGCATGACTGGTACGACACACACACACACACACCCGTCCTGTAACACTTTCCTTCCAAAACGGTTCGCCACGGATGAGAGAACTCAAGAATCCGAGTAGCACACACACACACACACACACACACACCGTCGTCGTCGTCTCCCTCTCTGTCTGTCTGGTCCACAGCTACAAGACGGCTAAGCGGCTCCTGGTGAGGGGCGTTGCAATGGGCTCGTCTGCCGCGCGGCGTCTTCACGTGGCTTCCCTCCCTCTCATCTGCATACTAATTTGGCTATTCAGCTCAGAGAGCGCCCAGCCTCAAGCCCCCCACACTCGTCGGCCTCTGGGTTTCCCAGTGGATTGATCAGTAGGTTGCTGCGCAACGTTGTCTTAGCTCCCATGCTAGTGACACGCTGTGGTGCTCTGCTTCCCTCCGCGCTTTGTACCCAACATGGTGCAGTGACTTCCAGAGGGAGGGTGTGTGTGAGTGAGTGTGAGTGTGAGTGTGAGTGTGAGTGAGAGAGAGAGAGAGAGAGAAAATCCAAACAGCGAAAGACCCAAACACGCTTTGGGCATACAACGCACCACCTACGGTCACACAGACGTATTGTATGCTGAAAGACACACACATTGAGAAACCTCCACAGTGTACAAGGAGTTAAATCTCAGCAGAGCCATGGCAATGTGCGTGCGCGCGTGTGTGTGCGCTCGCGTGTGCGTGCGTGCGTGCGTGCGTGCGTGCGTGCGTGCGTGCGTGTGTGCTGATTTGTGTGACTCGCAGCAAAGAGATTCAGTTACCCTTTACATAACCTTCCCCCCCATTCCCAGACGCACACACAAACACACACGCATGCATGGCAGACATACACACTTATCAGAGGGGGAGGGGCTGTAAAGCTAGCAGCAGACCCAAAGCAAAGCTGCTGCTCCTCCCCCCTCCTCTCCAAGTCTCAACTTCTTCTCACCCTACTTCATCACCGCCACAATTCAATTCCTTTTTTTTTTAATTTTTTAATTTTATGACTTCCACGTGAATCACTGCTACACCTCAGAAAGACATTTATAGCAAGAAAAAGAACTACTCAGTTTTTGTAACATATATGATATTTAACCTTCAACACATATGGGTAAACTACCATCTGCAAACAATCACGCACACACAACAAAACCCAAAGAGCGGGTCTGACCCGGTTTGAATGCTGCACAGGTCGATCCGGGTTTACAGTCGGGTCAGATGACTCGATCAGACTGACTGCCAAAGAGGCTTTAACCCGAGGACAGGTTCACTGCAGGATGAGCGATCCCATGCGACACCGGCTAACGCAGCGCCGACCAGATTAACTGACCTGGATGATGAAATGAACTACTTCCCAATCCTATTCTGAACAGTCTGGGACCTCTCCAGGGACAGACCTAATTTGGGGGTAACAACGCTGCGTTTCACTCAATTGACACAGTTTGGAAAATGTGTTGTTACAGGAAGCCAAAATGTAATTTAAAAGAGACAGAACCACCCTGGAGGCCCCCAACCACACAATACTTACATACAAACCTGCAAAATGCCGCCACAACGGAGCTATAATGTTAATACTGAAATCACCAACAGATAGAGAACAGATATCCGTGCTCATCGCTGTTCATGCCAAACTATAAACAATACATATATTCTCACACACACACACACACGGACGGACGGCGTGTTTACAGCGGGGACAAGTGGGACCCTGCACATGACACGTGGCCACTGCCAGCATTCACAGACTCACATGGAGCAGTCAGCACACAACACTCGCTGCGACTCGGATATCACACGCGGCAGAAAGAGGGAGGGGTCAGTATGTGTCCGCTTAGAATAACCTTCAAGCCAGCGTGCGTAACCACGGGGATCAAAGAAGGACGACAGCCCTCGGCGAACCTCTTTCGATGAGATGAAACACTTTCTCCAATTTTTCCACAACTCTTACTCCACCCAATGCCTTTGTACCCCCCCCCCTCCCCCTCCTCCTCCACATCCCACAGTCAGTCAGCATTGTGCTCTGGATGAAAGTGGCCCTCTGTGTGTGTGTGTGTGTGTGTGGAGGGCAGAGCGGTGCATGGTGTGGCCTGGGACAAACGGAGTGCCAAGGCCACGGGACCCTTACACTCCCCCACACACACACACAACAGCCCCCCTGTTGGGAAAACACACACACACACACCTAATGGATTACTGACATACAGAAGATAACTCACCGTGCAGCAGACAGGCCTCTCTTCCCCAGGTCTGCTCTAACCCGCTCTCCAACGTGACGATAAACATCCACCAGCGTTGCTATGGAGGCCTCACGTACCTGCAGACATACACACTTATTGTAAGACCTTACAATAAATCACACAACACGTTACACTTGTTTATTTGCTTGGTCCAATCTTTGCGCCATTTAATATAGTTAATTAATTTAATATTATTCAATTTTCTGTTTATGCTCACTTATTGCTTTACTCGTGTATGTACACAAGCTGATACAGCAAAAATAATGTCTCCTTGCATGATTAATAAAGCAGTCCACAAAGATTTCTGTCCCGGTCCGAGGTGACTCGTCTAAGGGTTGCAAAACGTAAAGGCATCGTGAAACAAACCCACCGGGCCCTGAACTCATCCCCCGAATGGCAGACCAGGGATTCGCCAGTCGCGTCGAGAGCACCGCTGCGATTCGGAAGTGGGATGCCGTTAAAAGTTTAAATTTCCTCGCAGCTAAAGTTTAGAGGGCCTGTTGAGGAAGCCGATTGGTCGAGACAGCATGTGGTCGGATAATCATTGGGCAGAAGATGGGAGCAGATTTCAACTTTGGGGTGCAACTCCACAGGAGGTTTAAAACCAACCTCTCTCACAACACGTTGCGATGCCACTGCTGTGCCGGTTAACGGTTGGGCGTTTAAGCTCATGGTTGAGCAGTGGAGTCTCTACGAAGCACATCTCCTCACTAATAACAGTAATAATCACACAGCTTGACTTAATGCCTGCCAACGCTCTCTGGCTGCCGAGAGATAAACCACAGGCTGAGCTAGAAGACTGACGCAAGGGAGCAACTTAAAGACCTCCACCCACTCCAGCACACACCACAGCACAAACATACACAGAGATATTTGGGTTGTGTGTCATATTGCTAAAGCGCTGCGTTTCCTTACCTGTGGGTTCTGGTCTCCAGTCAGGGAGCAGAGATGAGGAACCAGTTTGCTGAGGCTCAGCGACTGGGCTCCGTACCTAAAAGGAGAGCCGCGGGGAGTCACAAGGATGACTGTCACCACCATTTCAATCACATGTCCAAGAGTATCAAAAAACACGGCAATTTCCAAATGTCTGATGTGAATTGTGAAAAGGGTTTAGAAAGAAGATTAAGAAGACAGTGTGTTTCTTAAACAATTAATATCTGGCATGCTCTTGAAAGAGGAAAGCAGTAATAAAAATAAATAAAAAATCTCCATCAGAAATACATAGAAAATTAACAAACAATTGAAATAAATCCATCATTAGTTTAGAAAGAGTACGATTGGTGTATTTGGTCTCTGCCAAGTCGATAAGCCGTCGGTCATTCTGAGCCCTCCTCTGGTAATTTTGGGAAAACAAGGATCAACACGATCAACAATGAGTAACAAATCCCATGAGTGATGGGCGACTAACAATTTCTTTAAGGACGACTACTGTACGGAAGAAAAAGTATGCGCCTCTACCCAAAAGATGAGGGAACACACAGACTCTTTATCAGCTTCACAAATCCTCTTGTACTTTTTCATACAGACGAGAAGAGGGAAGCTACTCACGTGCTGAGCGTGGCGCTGAGACAGAGGCAGATTCCTTCTCGGCTACGGAAGTTCTTGTGTTTAAAACCAGGAAGCAGCCTTTCCCAAACATACTGGACGAGGTGGAAGGAGGGAGACAAACGAGGAGTGTGGGGAGGGGAACAGGTGTAAGTAGGATGGAGCAGAGGAAGGCAGCTGGGGGGCTTGAACAGATTACAGAACGCACAGGAGGTCACAATCTGTGGCCATAACTTGAAGGACATTGTGTAATTCCTTAAATACCCAGCAGAGGGAGCCCCACCAGCTCATATACCTCTCATCTGGTTTCACCCCCCAAGTCTACTGATGTGCAGGTGTCCATGTCACCCGGGTTATTTTGAATAACTGGAATAATTACAATTGGTCTGTAGGCTGTTCCAGCAGCTGTTCGGACAAGAAACCTGGCACACCAACCACAGTCGGTGGCTGAAACTCTGCAGCAGACATGAAACTTTATCAAGGATCGACACTTAAATGATCAAAGTCACTCAGTTTAGATGTCGGTCGTGTGACTTGCGGGGCTCAAACATCAACCACTCAAATCAATAATTTTGTTTCATGTATAGTTTTGCTATTCATCTGACTATTTATCAGATCCATATTAAATGTTACAAGAATTCAGTCTGTTCCTGAGGCTGACGTGTATGTGTGTGTGTGTGTGTGTCTCACCATGGGTGAGGCCGTCTGCTCCATACAGCGAAGGATGACAGCTTGGCTGTTCTCCCTGACCTGGTCCTTCCCATCGCCCAGCCTGTCCACCAAGGCCGGCAACACTACACACGGGAAACAATATGTAGAGAGAGAGGGCGGAGTCGGGATTAGAGTCGGGTGTAGGAAACACGCAGCTTAATGAGCGGTGCGTTTAGTTTCTCCTGCACTTGTTGTAACAATCAGCACAGGACAGTGAACCCAGAGACAAAGAAGACTGCCCCCAAGTGGAGCGCTGCTCAAAACGCATAAATACACAACAGATTTGTGTTCATTGTGAGCGGCTTTCTGTCGGTGCGCTGGAACCAAAGACACAACAACGACATTGTCGCCATGTGAAGGGCTCAGACAGCACCAACATCGACACGACGCCCTGAGGAGTTATGGGAGGGGGGGGGGGGGGGCAGAGAGAGAGAGGAAACGAGAAATGAGCCGTGACTAAAATAACGCCTGAGCTCATCAAACGCACAGGCGTCAGTTCCACTCCATCGGACACACGACTGCTCCACTACTGCGGCCTACGCACACCGGACAGACTCACGGGTAAAAAGCTTTTAAATGCTGCACTAATAAGCCTTATAATAACGACTCTGATGTTTCCAATGGTTCCTCAATTTAACTTGACAGCCTTTGCAAAAAATGTTTGTAGGTGTACACAATGAAGGAATAATCTTTGGATAATTTGGAGGACGAGTCTGGTGATTTCAACACTTCTCAATGTCAACACATCCCATGAAAAGACAAAGATTTGTTCCTAGGAGAGATTGTGTGATTGTTAAGAGTTGGACATGGCTTCTCCCTCTGTGCCACAGACCACCATTGTTTTCATAAAACTATTAAATATGTATTAATGATCCAAGTTGTTGCAGCGGCTGACAGGTTTCTTAGTTAAAATCAACATGAGTATTGTAGTTTCTTTTGAGTCGATCCCACATAAACCCTGCTTCCATAAATGCTCAAGTCAAAGTCAAAGATACACAACATACTGTTCTGGGGTTTAAAGGGCTTGACAACACACACACACACACGCACGCACGCACACGCACACAAGCAGGGATAATGATGTAATCGGTAGTTTCCTTGTGTTAGTGCATGTGTATATTTGTGCGTGTACATTGTTACCATAACAGCTGGTTGCCATGGCAACAAGCACAATACCCTCAAACAGAAAAATGACATGGTGACATTGCTGCCCCCCAACGTCATCTGCTCTAGCGAGTGTGAAAACACACACACACACACACTCTGCTTGTATGCAATTGGTTGACAAATTAATTTTAATCTCACTTATACGACACTTTAATCTGTCAGGTTGCAAAGAAGAAAATATTAAGAACTCAAAGTCCAGACTGTGTGATCATGGTAGACAGCGGCAGTGTGTCAAAGTGTGCACACACACAGACACACGACTGTAGCCCTGAGTCCGTCCTGTAGATCAAGGCATTTGCTCGGCCTCAATGATCTCATCTTCTTCCCTGTCTGCAAGAGAGAGTGAGTGTGTGTGTGTGTGTGTGTGTGTGTGTGTGTGTACGGTGGCAGTCTTTGCATTCTGTGACAGGTCCAGTGCCTCAGAGCTGCACTGCCAGATTGAGTGTGTTTGTTGGTGACAAGAACACGTCTGGCTGACAAAGACAGCGGGTGACACCTCTCGCGCACACACACACACACACGAGATACAACATTCAGTGCGTAAGGTCATATGAATGTGAGGTATGGTTTGGGTTGTAATAGACCGAGCAGCAGCATGACGGACATGCCATGACTTAAGGATGTATTGTGGGTGCGGTTTTGTGGGGGTGTGTGAAGAGTCAAGACAATAATACAACAAACCATCACACTTGTAACTTTGTTGGGGACAAAATAAGGGCCGGATGAACTTTTACCTTTAAATCTGATAAACAGAACAAAGACATCCTTATAATCAGATTTTCAACAAATAGAAAATAAAAAAGTGTGTACGCTTAGTTTATGAACTAAACTACAGAATAACAACTCTCTGCAAATAGAGCAGAACAAAAAAGGACATTCTGGACGGGGAAGGTTAGATATCTCACCCGTGCCAAGGAATCCTTTGAATCGCTCTCCCAGGCGCTCCACAAACGCAGCACAGATGTCTATCCCCAACAACGCCACCTAAGGAGAAGCATGACAGAGAGAAAAGGTCCACGTGTGCGTTAATTCAGGGCGGCGTCCCGTACTTTTCATGTAAACAATCGGAGCGAAGCGTCACCGTCGCCCTAGACAGATTAATTCAGGTTCTCGTTGAAGTGTTGAGAGAAAATCTGAAGTCTGATCTTGGCACCATGAATGGGTTTTAACAAATGCTGAAACTATTTTTCTCTGAGGTTTCCTGACTCAGCGTGAATAAAAAAAAACAGGCACTGAAGGGTAGTTTTATCACTTTAAAAGATTCCACATCTCCTTTTCCAGATGGAGCTGTTCAAATGTAGGGTGTGCTGTCTAGTTACAGAAGTTCTGTACTCACAGACTGGCAGCTGCAAATGTTATAAATATCATTTTAGATAATAACCAAATTAACAGCAGCTAACACAGATGTCCTATTGAGGTGTACAGCGGGTCAACAGCCGTTAGCACCCTTTGACTACGTAGCCTCGTTGAGCCCTCTTTACATCATCTGCATCACAGCGGGCTACGACACTCTCATAAAAGTACGGTATCAAGTCACATGACCTCCAGATGTCAACAAAGTCATGTGTTCCTTGGCAGTAATCTTACTCATCGTCGGCGTCTCTCATCACAGTCAGCAGAGAGAAAAATCGTGCTTGCGATACGACCCCCGAGCAGGAGGGCAGACTAGATTTTTGCCGAGTGGGAGAGTTGAGTTTTCCACTGTGTTTCTGATTAGGATCACAACCCACACCGCGCTGTGCCGCTGGAATGCTTGCTTTGGCCGCGGCGCGGTGAAACCGAGTGGCCCGAAAAGCAAGGCCGTTAAAACGGTATTCTCCAGACTCCTCTGCTTTGAGTAGAGAGTCAGACTACAGTGGGGGTTTTTTTTACCCTTTTTTAGTCAAATGAGGAGATCAGCCAGGTAAGAAAGAAACTACTCCCCACCCCAACAAGCTTGGTGCCTGCAAACATACGTCCTCTTCACTTGGAGAGAGACCCAGACCAGGAGACAGAGGACGGGAGATGGAAGCCGGTCATTCAAAACATACCTCATTGTGACTGAGGTATGCAGGAGGGAAAAAAACAACCTGTGAATATTTTTCCCATGAATAGCTCTTTGTTAAGACTCGTGCGTATGAGGGCTAAGCCTGCTAATTCGGATTCTATGTACAGGGTTTATTCTGGATTGCACCAGAAATTTATCAATCAGCAATAAATGAGTCAATGACAACGAAGCAAAAATAGCAACATTTGATTGTAAATTGAATGTTCCTTGATAGCTTGTTAGAAATACGTTATTTGAGGGATGATCTGCGATGATAATGTTTCACTGCTTAATAACAATGTAATACATACATTTAATACAACAACAATCAACGGAAAAGCTGCAGCTTACACTGTTTCCCCAAAGTTTGCATTGGGTTAAATATTGCATCATGGTTTGCATGTAAAGTGATGAAGCATATGTGACACTATCTTAACAAAGAACTAAATAAAAGCCCGGTGGTCAGTGACGTATTCGGGCTGTGCTGCCCATAAATTCAGCATGCAGTATTAATGCACTCTGTTTGACTTTAGTATGAAGCAAGAGCAAAGAGCATGAGAGGAATCTGCCGTTCTTTCTAGTGAACGAGGAAAGGACCTATTGGGAGAAAAAAGGACACATCAGGACAATGAGGAGTCGAGGAGGGCAAAGGAACAGACTCACAGCCCAGAAGAGGAACCCCAGGGCGATGGTCGCCTTTTTCCAAACATTTAATGTATTTATGAGTCCAGACTACTTGTGTTTTCCACCCACACCTCAGAAGCTCATTTAGTCACACTATTCTGGATCTCCCCTCTTCTTCTCTATCGTTTGTCAACTCCGCATCATCTCTCCACTCATCCCTCTGTGCTGCTGACTCGGCATCTTAATCACCACTACAAATTATCGTCCTTGGGCCCGACCGGAAGCCACTCGACTTCACTAAAAGCCTGCTCGATGGGGCCTCAGAGGGGGTTACAGCTCATCACTGCCAGACACTGAGCTCATGTTACTGTATGTGTCAGCCACATGAAGGAACTAATCCGTACAAAAGGGGACACTTTAACTTGGTACAGCTGGAGAAGACATTCTCGAGGTGGATTTAAGAGGGGGGCGGGCAAAGGTTCACATTCAACAACATCTTGTGTCTGATGAGTCGTTTGAGAGGATGCATAAAAACTGCATCACGTAACCACGTTTGTCTTCAAATTACAGCAGACATCTACTGCATCTACTTCTCGCTGCAAATGGAAATTAGTTTAGAAATATGTATTAAAAAGATTATGAAAAAGGAAAGTCACTCTAAACAGACAGAGAGGATGCTTTCTCCATGCCAAATGGACAATTTCCTCAATGATTTTTTCCCTTCAATTTCAGTTCAGGACTTTGGCTTCACATTTCAGCCTCCCTTGAAAACAACTTCAGTTTGTTTTGGCTTGTCTGGATTGGGGTGATGCCTTCGGGCGAGAAAGTTTAAGTATCTGAGAGATACTAACTAGAGAGGGAGAGAACTAATTCGAGAACTAATAAATGTCATCAGTCGGCACAAATATATATAGCTATATATCATGAAGCAGGAGAGAAAATTAGGAAAAAAACAGTGTGAAAGGGAAAAGGGGGGATTGAGAGTGTCTGCAAGGGGGAGAGATAAAGAGCAAGCGAGGGATGGAGAGAAAGCACAGGGTACAACAATGCGCTGACCCCTCCCCCATCCCATCCCATCCACGGCTACAGTACACAGTCCTGACAATGAAACCCCCTCGCCACAACGAGCCTCTGCGAATCAAACAACCCTAACCTCAACAACCCAAAGGAATGCCCTGCAAAAGTCCTTCCGTCACTGGGGCGACCTTTTTTAACGCCTGGCTGGTGTGATCCCGGAATAGACGGGCTGAAACTCTTAAGCCGTTTCTCGGCCTGATAAGATGTGCTGCACATTTTGTTTTGTTTTTAAAAGGAGGGGGGGGGGGGAATTAACATGTGCATCTTCTTGACTGGGTTTAAACAGATTAGAAAGAGAGGGATGATTGAGGGAGATCCTAAAAGTCCTCCTCGGACCACTTGATGATGTGATGACTGCTCGTTTGAAATGGACGTTTCTCACATTGAGTGATCCACATAACCGCCCAGTGTCTTCCAGCTCACTGGGTGAACTGTAGATAAAATAATTAATGAGCAGCCCGAGAGGAATGTCCGCTGCAGTGACACTGCGGTGGCCCTCGTGTGATGGTCGCTCACCTTGAAGTTGCTGGAGTTGACCCATCCTGTCAGCTCGTCCATCGTCTTGTCCAGCCGGGATTTGTCCTGCTCCACGTCCGGGGAGCGGCTCGGGTCATTGAGATAGTCGATGAGATCCTCGCCGACCTGCAACCTACGGCTAACATCTTTCTGCAGTACCTGCTGGTAAAAATAGTCCATGTTGTCATGATCCTCCATCGGGCACTCGGGCGCCAGCTACCGGAGCCGGCCGAAGACAGGAGGCAGGGGTCGGTGGGACGCGGTGCCGTGGAGCGAAAGCGACGAGGCGAGAGAGGCTTAGTGGTCTGGATAGACGTGTGATCATCAACATACGAATAGAGAAATACTGGCTTCTTTGACGCACAGATCACCCCTCTGCTCAAATCAAAAGCTCCACTTTGTACAACAAAGACCTAGCTCGGTAGCTTCCTTATTATACAATGTCCGCGCGGAAGGTTGAATTAAAACTTCGAGAAAGTTCCATAAACGTGGATTTTTGATGCACCCGGACCGGTTCCTTCAACGTATCATCATCAAAACAAGCCGGCGACCCCCGGTTGGCTAATTGTTATGCTAACAAAAATAGCACCCAGCTAGTTAGCACAGCGACCCAAACAAGGGTAACCTGCTTCCCATCAGCTAGCTCGGCTAGCTAACGCTACTTCTCCGCAGGCCCGGCGCCTGGCTCCGCTTCGCCTTCTTATTCCATGACAAACGGGCAGGAAAAGTCTGCGGGGCTTCCAACGGTCGACTTCTCACGTCGCAAAGTTGCACCAAACTTCCGCAACGGAAGGCTTCAGCTCCGGTCCCGCGGCAACTGGTTCTCACTTTAATCCGGTAATAACCGCGGCTACCTCTAAACCCATTAAGAGGCGCTAAACGCTCGCTGCCGTTGACTGCGGTCCACCAGGAGGAGCAATCTACCAACTATGAGGCCGACGGGTCTTTGGGCACCGCACAGCTGGCCCACATAACGCCTGATGTAAAATTACACTTTATCAGATTTTCTGCGGGCCTCGCTCAGGCTGAAATAGGAATATAGATGCGACGCGTTCATAACATGCATTATGTTTTCATGCCTCCTGGGTGGAAAAGATGTGCTTTCTGCGAAAGAGAAAATGAATGAGAGAAACTGCACGTCATATGTGGGCGCGTCTGCCCTCCACACGGCTCTTTGTTGACATCTAGCGGCTCCGCTACGGTGCGCCATGGATTCAGTTTGCCGCAGTTTATGTTACTGTTCATCACTCTGTGAGATACTAGAACATACACTCTTACACCGGAGAGACAAAGCACATTTACTATTAGTCACTTTATTTATTCATTTATTTTTTTCTCTGAATATCGCTTTTATTTTCTTATACATACAACTGTTATAACAGCTGTCGAAGATAGGACATTAGTATCTCAGCCTGTCAAGTTATTTAGCCATCTGAGTCTTTCCTCGTCTTCCTGTCTGCTCTCATTGTTTCAGTCATTTGTCCTGCCAATCTCCACAGTTTTTTTAGCCCTCGGCCCCTCACAACACTTGCCCGTCTCTTTGTTACGCGCAAAATATGAGCAGCTTCAGTTCTTTGTATTTTCAGTGCTTCGTAGTAAGTCGTGCCCTATGTTACTCTGCAAGGCCAGATAGAGGGAAATAGACCGGGGACGTTGGGGCTTCTCAGTCACAGATTTCCTTTTGTCACATGTTTTGTACAATTGGTTAAGTGGGAATCTTCAACTTGTCAATCGATAACAGATTAGACTGCTTCGCCATATCAAATGCTATTTCTTAACATTTTCATGTTTAATCTCATGTGCTGCTTTATTAAGCAAGTGGATTATTGAATACAGACAATTCTTTATATCCTACATCATCAGTAAATTGCCAATTGCACAAAACTTCACAGAATTAACTTTTCAAATACATACATTTGATTGTCAAAAAAGTTGAGCTGCTTTTCCTATCGTTCTCAAAACTATTATCTCAGCTTTAAGCAAAGTCCCATTTAATTTCAAAGCAAGGTTGCACCAACATTATCCCTGATTGATATCCAAATACAGACAGCAGTAAATTTGAATAATGGACTTCACCGTCCACATAAAACCGTGGGAACACCAGTGTTGTATCAGTGTTACTAAACTCACTCTGATAGCAGGGAGACTGGAAACCTACTGATGTAAACAAGTTTGTCTGCAGTGCTAATCTAATCCTGGATGCAAACAAATGCTTAAGTGGTCAAATAGGAGCTAGTGCACAAGGCTCCTGACAGGATCGGTTCAGGGGCAACATAAACATGTAGAACACAGGAGAGGCCACTCGTCCCAGCAGCGTACAGTCAACATATCACGCTGAGGTTCAGAATCATTAGTCCTTTTTTTGTTTAACAACAACAACTGCTTCTTCTCCACTTTAAAAACAATGACAAACATATCTCCTGCTCTGGATCAACAGGCATGTACAATTACGATAAGCACTGAAAAACAAATATTTCCCCAAAATTTTGAGTAAATTGCCAGAAGTCTTAGTCTTTTTTTTACATTGCAAAACATTCTCTGTACAAACATAATTTAAATCTCAACAAAATTTGATCAGATGGACAAATATGTCATATGTCCCATTCTGTACTTTGCGTACTTCTTTGTATATATTTTCCACACTAGAGATGAGGTGGCTGATCAAAAGCTTTACTGAAGATCGCCATTTCCTACAGGCCAACTCTCCTCTACCTCCGTGCTGCGTGTCTTTTGTTCAAAGCAGAATGAATCACAGGATTGTAGCATGGAAGTGTCATGTGATTGGTTGAGATGATACTTCACAGAGAGAAAACTGTTGTCCAAGATGACAACAGTCCTTTTTTTTGTTGTTTGAAAATTATGCAGTGTAGTTCCACTTTTCAGACCCCCCCCCCTCCCCTTCTGGTAGACCACTGTTATTCCCGGGGCAGCTGCTAATGACATTCCACTTCCATTTCCATGGTGTTTGATTGAATGAAGCCCACTTACAGCGACGGGGCCGCTTAGAAACTAAATGACGGTCTAGGTCTACATGTATAGACTAACTGTATTATAGTGCTGCTGTATTTATGAAGCGTCGCTTGCATATAAACCTAATCACTCGATGCTTTTCTGAGGGCCTGTAATTCATGGCTTTTTCTTTCTGCACTGGACATTTGAACAGTTGCTAGTAATCATGGAAGCGGAGTGGCTCTTCTGGCGATTACAGAGACTTAAGAACTTGTGACTGGTCTTTACCCACTTGCTCCTGCGAATAATCCAAAAATGTCCGTCCAAATATTTTTTTCTGCCCCAGAAATTTGTCTGGTGAATTGTTTAAGCTTGGTTGACGGCGTGAAGTGTCAACCGAGGGATAATTTTCTCGTGCCCTGTGTTTTCCTCTCCAGACTGCGCTGACCTGCCCAATGCTGTCAGCTCCCCTCCCTCCAGCCCAAACCCCGCCAAGAAAAGCAGCTCCATCAACTGGTCCTTTCCGGACAAGATCAAGTCCCCGCGCACCGTTAGGAAGCTGTCCATGAAGATGAAGAAACTCCCGGAGCTCAGCCGGAAACTCAGCATCAAGG